CACACACACACACACACACACACACACACACACACACACACACACACTTAGATTAGGAATGAGCTTCTGCACTCAGTACCTATCAATACTGACACTGTTGACTGTGTGCTGTATGTGACCAAGCAACACCACCTATGATTCATTCCTATTAAGCTACATCAGCAGTGCAGCAGCAATTTCACCAGCAGGCAGACACATCACACCTAATCAGATAGCATTAGCTTAAACTATGGCTTCCTGCAGCCCAGCATCCCGAGGAAATATATCCACATTGGATGAGTTTGCAACTTACGATTTTAGGTCCATTGTCAATGTGCCAACGCAAAAAGTAGTGTGCCCTTTGTGTTGTTATGGTGGGGGTGGTGAATGGGCGTGTGGCACATCTGACTTCTCTGAGTTGGCATCTTGTCACAGACCTGCAATTAATTAGTTTTTTTTTTTAAACCATTACCATAATAGATCCCTAACCTCAAAAAGAATACTTCACTGATTGAGCATTGCACTCCTAACACATCTTTCACTAACCTTAACCATAATGCAGATGCTATGCGTAGATATTCCAGACTGTGAGAATTTAAAAAAACGTAATCCAGCAATTTGCAGCATTGTCCATTACGGACGTTCTTGCCTGGAGATAGGGTCGGGCTGACGACATCCCTCAATACATGCATGCAGATGCAGAAGCACATTTTGTAATGAAAAGTACATCTTTTACAGGTGTACCACAACAAGCACGGAAACCTGTGAAAAACACACTTTAGGAAAGTTCTGATTAAGCACAAGTTAATGTTAATTTATCATGAATGTATTGTTTGAAATGTTCTCTATATATGTTGAATTGTATGTTTCCCTTAAGACGAATTTCCCATTTCTGCATGTTCTGGTGACCTGCTGAGCACTGACTAAAATAAACGACCAGCAATCAATTTTAATTATGTATAAATGTATTAATTTGAAACTCTCTCTATTTTACCTATAACCATTAGATACCAGGAAGCATCTTAGAAAATGTTAGGAAATAATTGGCAAGTTACGGACCTGTAAAATTCTTTCTGCAGAGTGTGAAGTCATGAAATGTCAACGCATTTGTGATTTTTGCATTCATGATTTTATTTAGATCCCAATCAGTTTTCCAGCATTTTACAACACAGTAGATCAGTAACATTTAAAAATCCAGAAAAAAAATGGTATCAGCGACTGAGCTTTTGTCGGTTAGTCATTACGGATGGACTGGACATTACGTGATGGTCTGAGGTCTTTCAAAGACAGAGCAGTGAGCTACAGTATGACTTCTAAACAAAAGAACAAGGCGAAATTTGACGAAAACAACCCCTGTGGGAGTCTTTGTGTCATCCTTTAAAGGATCCTCTCAGATGATTAGGAGATGAGACATCGAGAGGTCACCCTCCGTTCCTCTTCCCATCTCTTCAGGCCTCACTTCCACATGCATGCACTCCATCTGTATTAATCAAACTATTCTTGAATACAGGCCTACATGCACAATGACACACACATTGCTCCCTATACGCTGTCCAACGACGGCCCAAAGTCATCCTGCTGCAGTTTGGCTGCAGGACAGTGAATGAGTCAGCTTGCTCAGCCGGCCACACAGCCATGTCTGCTTTTCTATCAGGCTGCCTGTTTATCTGCCGACATTCAACGTTTGATTGTGGCTCTGTCGTGTCTATCTGACCTGCCTGCTTGTCTGCTGGTCTGTATTTTTATTTGTCTCCATCTCTCTTCCCATTTAACTTCCTCCTGGTTAAGTTGTCAGTATGCTTCAAATGACGTCCTTCTCAGATGATCGAACATGATTGTGTATGAAACCCCCCCCGCCCTCACAAATTTATGATATTGGAATTGGCTTTGTGTGCTATTTTTTGCAACTTTCCAAAATCGACAATACAACAAGCATACTAACTTCGTGCAGTGAATGACCAGGTATTAAAACCTTTGTTCAGACGACACTTTGTACAACCTAGCTCATTCGAAGCATACTTCCATACCTTTAGTGTTATTAATGTTGCTAGATGAGGCATTTAGAAGAACAGGGTGTTCCTCTGCAGGCGTGACCCCACCTTCTTGAAGAGGGCTTTTAATTTACATACTCTGCATTGCTTAATCTTCACCATCCTCTCTTTCCTACCGTCCTCTCCATTATCCCCCTCCTGTCCCTCCAGGCTCAGCCAGGGGCTCCACACCCCTCCATGGAACTCAGGGTCAGCCATAGGATCATCTGGTGGATTCCTTGGCATCACAGCTGTCTGGTTGTACTCTGCCAGTCTTGTCAGAAGATGTTTCACTACCTCTGGATGAGCTTCTGCCAGGTCTGACCTCTCGTAAGGGTCAGAAGTGACATTAAACAGCCAAACTGACTTCCCCAGCTCATTGCGCCGCTTCTCGAGTTTCTGCCACCGTTCTGGACCAACGGGAAGAGCCTGTGGTGGTATCCAGTCCCCGTCACCCACATTTCCTGTCAATAGCTTCCAGTCCCCAGCCCTTATCGCTGCCCTTACGGCTGTGTCCCAGATCCCAAATCCATTGAGTACCAACGCCTTGTCATACGGCTCCCCAGGCTTCCTGGAGACTGGGTCAATGTTGAAAAGGATTTCAGTGCGAGGACAGGGAAGGCCCTCGCTGATGGTTCCCCACATATCGTGACCGTCTAGGCCATGGTGGGACTGCAAGGCCCCGGCCAGTCCCAGTAATGTGGGATACCAGTCAGAAACGTGGATCAGTGCTCTGCTGACTTTACCCTTCTTCTTCAGGAGGGGACTATGGACAAAGCCCACAGCACGGATGCCTCCTTCCCAGTAGGTCCCTTTGCCACCTCTCAGCGGCCAGTTGCTCCCCCCAGAGAGTGGCTGCCCACCGTTATCAGTTGAGTAGATCAGTACTGAGTTCTGATAGAGCCCACTAGTCTTCAGTTCCTGGACCACTTGTCCAACCCCGTCATCCAGACAGCTCAGCATGGCGGCGTAGTGGCGCCTGAGACGATTGCCCTGGGAATCATAGTGGTGCAGAAAATGGTCCGGTACCTGCAAGGGTGCATGGGGAGCCTGAAGAGACAGATAGAGGAACAGTGGTTTGTTGGGGTCATGGCTCCTCAGGATCTGCTTCACTCTGGTTGGACAAAAAGGAACATTGGAAGTTTTTCAAAGTTTTGTTTTTGTTTGTATGTTTGAATCTGTTTAATTTAATCAAAACCTTGATGATCACCTCTCTATGTAGAGCAGAGTGGAGTAGTTGCCGGCCATCTCCCAGGCAGGCCTGTCTCCGTCATGCAGGTCAAATCCACAAGCTTCGGCTCCGTCACAGCTCCGATAGGAGAAGTGGTCTCCACTGCCAGTCAGTGTGCCCAGGAAACTCTGAAAGCCACGTCCTGTGGGTAGGCAGCTCGGCCTGCAGAAGCCCAGGTGCCATTTCCCCACCATGTATGTGGCATATCCAGCGTCTACAAGACGCTCTGGCAGAGTAGGGATGTCCGGAGGCAGGCAGAGGGGTTGGCGTGATCGGATGATCGAATGCTGGAGTCCAGTGTGAATTTGGTAGCTGGCAAGATGGTGTCATGATATATATGATAACACAACAATGGTACATTTCACAGATTGTTTAAGAAATGTTGCACCCTTGGATACTCTCACACTGTTACACATCATCAAGCCGAGATGGTCAGTGATTTTACAGAATTAATTTATGATGAGGAGTTGTTAATCTACTTTTTTATTGTTCGTACTTTCTAACTGCAACATTTCTGCCAGAAAATACTTTAATCTGCACTCAGAACATGTCAGTGTTAGCTCACTCTTCCTACTGAGATAATAAAAATGCAGGATCAAACAACAGAACAGACTTAGATCTACAAGGGGCTTTGCCAGTTTTTTTTTTTTTACAGTGCGTCTATTGAGGATTGCAAAGATGAGATGAATTGTAGTTTATCAGATTGATATGGCTATGATGTAAGACAGCTGTCTGTGACATCCAACAGTTTACAGACTGAAAAGTCAATGAAACAGATCATTTCTGCTTTTGTAGCCAATATCATGATCAAACAAATTGCCCCTTTAAGTCTCAAAACAGGATTTTATTCCAGTAAAACGTTAATTATGTTTTTTTATCAGATTTTGGGTGTCTTTTGTTCTAGTGGTTGGATAATATACACAATGTAATAGTTGGTCTTGGCACTACTGGTGGTACTTATTTTTTACGGCCTTTCTTGTACTGAAAGCTGCCCCATCACTGAATTTCCCTTCAGGGACGTCAGCAAAAGCCTATAAAGTCCATGCATAATTGTATCATATGAGAACAGATGCAGTAACTGAATCCTTTCCCATCGTAACAATGATGTATTGATAAGGAAATTACTTACCGTCCTGTCATGAGTTGACTTCGAGAGGGTGAGCAGATAGGCTGAACGTAGTAATTTTCAAGTTTCACCCCCTCTGCTGCCAGCTGGTCCAACATAGGAGTGTGGATATCTGAGCCATGGTAGCCAATGTCTCCGTAACCCTGGTCGTCCACCATGATAAAGATAAGGTGTGGGGGCATGGACCTTTCCACCTCCTCAATGACAATGCTGCCATCCAAAGACTTGTGTTCACCCAGGCAGCGGAGGCCACTGAGCAAGGTCACCCCAATCACCAGGAAAAACACAGAGCAGATTCCTTCCCTCATCTCCAGCTATCTACTTGTCTGATTTTGTCTGCTTAGTCTGCAGTCAATAAATCTCAAGCCGGATCGCTTCTGCAGACAAATGGGCAGATCTGTGTGTCCGAGGAGCTCGTCCAAAAGTCTTATCTACCCATTGAGTATGAGTTGGCGTCTTTTGTCTGGGGGTAATTCTTGGTTTTGTGAGATGGGGTTGAGCTGTGGTGGGTGGAGAAAAACTGCTGTCTCTCAGATGGGCAAGAAGTTGGTAGAGGTTTGTGTGTGTGTGTGAGTGAGAGAGGGAGGCTTCACCTTTTGCAGTACCTTGCTACATTCCTCAGTATTTTCAGGTGCGTCATAAGATGGATGGGAAGGACCTGGGCAAGTGAAATTCACACATGCATAAACATACCACCAGACAGGTATATATACAGCATAGCCAGACAATGTTTCCTTGGATAAAACCGGATCCATTCTCCTGCATATCATCGATTAAAAGAAGGAAAAAGACTACTTGTACAAGGTCAACATAGGCTCAAACGTATAGCTAATAATATAACACAAATAATGCTAAAGCTAAAGAGTTTTGGGAATGTGGTGAATAAAAGAATAGATACTGATAAAAAATGGCCTTAATTGGTAACTTTAGTATTTTTCAACCTGGACCTTATTTTCCCATGTTTGTGTGTCTAAGTGCTACACAAGTAACATTTTTTTAATTGATCCAGTATTGAGGGAGACCGCTGTAACCAGCTGCTGCGCAACAAGCTGCAAGGGCAATTGTGCAGTGTCAATGTAACAATACTTTCAGTAAAAGTGCTTGTTTTTGCCACTAACAGGCTCCGATTGTTGTATACAGTACATGTCTGACAACATCATGGAAAGGAACCTACAAAGAAATAAAACATGTTTCCTTACCTTCCACTTGATCCAGTCCAAGTCCTCCTCAAGGAGAAGTCTCATTCTGAAATCTTGGGAAGCAACAGGTCCCACTCTTAACAGCATTATTCCTCTGTAGGCCTCATAGGGTCATAGCAACTTCAGGAACATCTCCAGTCTCTTGAGCTTCCTGGCCTTGTAGCAGCTGGTTCACCCACCTCTGCCTGTTGCCCTCAGGTGGCAACCTCCGGTTCTGAAAAGTGAAGTAAATGTGGAAGTGTCTATAACTTGCATTCTCTCTAATGGCCGTCAGGGGGCAATTCCTCTGGTTGCAAAAAATAAGTCAGATTGTATAGAAGTCTATGAGAAAATGATTCTACTTCTCACTTGATTTATTACCTCAGTAAATCACTAGTTTCAAGTCTTCTTCAATACAGCATGATGTTCATTTTTGTAAATGATGGTCCCATTTAGAGTCAAATAGACCACAAAGCGAGGTATGCTTTAGAGCGGGCTACCTCGTGAAGTCTTTAGTGCTACGACGTCGCTACGTCACTACTACGCAGTTCAAATACGGTCACTTCCGTTCATTGGTTGCAAAAAGCCAAGATGGCGACACCCATTTGGGATCCACTGCTATTTATAATCCAGAGAAATGTCCTTACCTGTTTCATGATGACTACTTCTTAATAAAAAAAGTAATATTCATACTTCCATTGTACTGGGGCGGCAGAGGAACTCTCTAAACTAAATAAAACAGCTAAACCACTGAAAATATGATTATTTTGGAATTACCGCCGTCATTCATTTCTGACTGGTACTCCTATTAGAGTGCTATTTCGACTGCTACAGCTAATATTTCCACTGTGATTTCCCGTAGTGCATATTCCAAACTATACAGTAAATCCCTAATGGAAATCATAACCCCTGTCATCTGTTTTTTGTTGCCTGATGCTGCTCAATTAATAGAGTCACCCGATGACAATTACTGCCTGTGTCGAGGCAATAAAACGCAACAATCCGAATACGGAGGAACATCCGGTGTTGTGATGAGAATGTGTATCGACCAAATGGCTCTTAGCTTTCACCTCACTGCCATCTCCTTCCCATAATGCTGAGAGGAAATCAATGCCTCTGATACATTTCCTATGTTGTAGAAGCAAACTCTTGTTGCCTCACCCTGTGGGACATTTCACAGGCTTTTTGCCCATTGTGAGAGTGAGATGTATGAGAGATTGAGATCTAAATGGCAGGAGAGGGAAAGATGACGATGAGGCAAGAATGAGGCTGACAAAGTGTGCGAGGGAGGGTGATACATTGAAGTGGATTACATGAAATTATTGGTGGGAAATGGGAACATATATGAAAAGGAATATATAACATAAAAAAGAGAAATTAATCACAAAGTAAAAATGACAAGTGGGATGCGGTAAAGAAGAGAAAAAAGAGGAAATACAGTGAGAGAGAACACGAAATGTGCACACGAGAAAAAGAAAGCCTCACTGTCTAAGATGAGAGAGTAGAGCATAAACAAAGTGGCATAAAAGGAGCAGTCACTTTGTCTTGCTGTGTATGTACGTCTGGGTCTCTGGGTGTAGCCATCAGTTTGCCTCAGGGAAATGCAGGGTGACATGAACTCCGTTTTACCGCTATGATGGGGGAGGAGAGGGAGGGGGGGGGGGCTGTAAAAATGGAAAGTGACAAATGTCTTCTTGAGGAGTAGAGCGAGAGAAGGGGACTGTGATCTTTCCGCAACTGTCTGACTCTTTCGGAAGGGTCACAAAGAGAGAAGTGATATAAGCGAGGTGCACTTTAAAAAGGTCAATAATGATGAAAGCTAGAAATATGTCAAAAACAAACGTAATGTAAAGGGTTCCACTTTTAAGTAGAACTATTTAGCAACATTTTCAGTGCACGCTGTTCACTGTGTCACCAACAAATTCACTTTCTACTGTGCAACAAAGGGGAAATTGGTCGGAGTGACTTTGTAGGCCAAAACATACAACTCATAGCCCACTGTGTGTTTGTACAGGGTGTTGTGTGTGGACTTGTATGTGTGTGCGTGGGTGTATTGGTGTGTGTTTGAAAAGGCAGTGGTGCAGAGTAGAAGAAAGTAGCAGTGGGTGTGATTTATTCATGACAACGAATAAGTGACTCACTCGATCTGGAGCCACTCTGTTGAGCTGGAGCTGAAGTGGGGGGTGGGGGGGGGGGGGGGGGTGTCCGGGGGGGGGGGGGGGTGGGTGTGTGTGGTTGGTGGTGGGTTGTGTTTGGGGGGGGGGAGTTGTCTGTGTGTGACAATGTGCATCTGAAAATTACTTTCATTTTCAAGTCTATCATCCAATATAGAAAATAAAGAGTCCTATTTTTGTATTAAAATGTCCCTGTCTGAGATTTGTTTTGGTATATAAAATACTCCATCATATGCATACATGTATTTATGGTACAGTAGATGGGTGTCTGTCCTGGCTAATGGGAAATGATTTAATCAGAACTTATGGATTCCTGCCTAACTCAAAACACAGGGATGGCTTTCCTAAACCTTCCTAAAATATGTAAGCTGCAACTATGCATGCTGACACCTGACAATAACAGCTAATGTTTTCATAAAAAATTAAATTCAGATACCAAGTTTTACTACGAGTGTAACATGATGAACCTGAAAGTTGCCATACCTTTGCAGTTTGACCAACACTGTGGTGCCAAAGCACCTTTAACAACATTATACTATAATAGTCGAAAAAGGACCATGACTTTATAGCTTTACGGAAGTATAGGCCTACTACTGTACTAAAATATAATTGTTCGGTATATTGAACTGTGGGTCAACTGACAACAAAAAGATAACAAGATGGCTTGAGTTGCAAAAATAGATTGAGGTGCTTTTATTTTCAAATATAGTGAAAAAACAGAAACTTGGACTCTACAGCAAAAAAGCCGAAAGACTAAAAATTACCATCACTTGCATACTGCCTCGCAACACCTTGGTGGCCCCTCCCCCGAGACCAACCAACCTTTGATTAAATTATCTTCCATTTTACACAATCAGCTATTTTATTGCCAGTTTTAAACAAATAAACTGCATTATAGATATCACCATTTCCCAATGAAATAGATTAAATAAACCCTAAAACGTTGACACAATTTCATCAATATGGCAACAGATCCAGTTAAACATCTTCCTCCATCAACACACATGCTGCTGCTGTAGCCTGTTTATAAGATACCGTGCATCTGCTCTTTGATTTCTGTGTTGCTGTAAAAAAGAGAATAATAATTTCAGACTACAGACACAAAATCAAATATGTTTACTGTATCAATTATGAGATTTTTAATAGTAAACGTCCCACATTTCTACAGCGAAATAGCTACTTTTCTGAATATAAGTTGCTTTAAAAACACATTGCTCCATAATTCCTGACATTGATTTATATATTTGACTTCAGGACATCGCTGACTACAAACTGAAATGACATGGCTCTCTCACAGGAGAAATGCCAGACTTCTGCATTGGAAAATCTCTGAAATGATAAAATTCTTGATTTTGTGTCTGTATGTAGTCAGAGATGTCTTCAAGTCATTGTCAGGAATTATTCTTTTATCTTTTTCCAGCAACCAAAGATTAAAGACTGAAGACATTTCCCATTTTATTTTTCATCAAGAGAGCATCAACATCAACTTTTACTTGCTGACACCGCTCTTTCACAACTGCTTATATTACGCCCACAATTGGCCCAAAAATCTGCTTAATTTAAGATAGTTCAACTTGACAATTTCCATCACTGTGCGATAAGCTGAAACTACTGCAGACACACACATGTATCACATACATACAGACAGTGTGATCTAAGGCTAGGTGGTCCAGAGTTACATCTGTCTCTCTGTGCAGGCAGACGTGGGCTCTGAGACATCACACAAACATCGTCCCTCCCACCGTCCCTGAAGGTGACACTGACAGAGACCCTGGCTCTGCTGCTCCTGAAATATTCGAGGATCATCTTCCAGTCGACAGAAACTCTATCCACTCCCTATTCTCCTCACCTTACTCAGTGATGGATTGACAAGATGAAGCAGAGGGGGTTGGGGATCACTCAGTCTCATCTCATGAAACGAACCACCCACACAGAGGGTGCTGGTGGCCTTAAGTCAAATCCACAAACTTTGGGTAAACTTTCCCTCCTCCTCCTCTTTACAGTACCTCCTTGGCCGGGCTGCTCCATCCTATCAGACATTTCCCGCGGGGAGAGTGAGTGCTGGCTTTGACTCATCAAAAATTAAAGAGATTACACAAGCTCAATGTGTGTACAGTATGTGTGTGTGTGTGTGTGTGTGTGTGTGCGTGTACTGTGGTGGTACAGTCAGTGGAGAGTGCCCCCATGAGGATTTAACAAATAATGCATGCAGATTGATAGAAAAGACGATAATGGGAGAATAATAAAGGACCCTGATTCTCAAAAATTCACCTTGGAGGCCCCCTGATGAGAGGAAGAAACATCTAGTAAATTCAGATGGTTACAATGGAAATCTGCATGTCATAAGAGTGACTGGTACAATGGGTGTGACCGGATGTGTTGTTTGCAAGTATGTGCATATAGTAATTCAAACTATTCACAGCTTAAGGAAGGAAGCTGCTAAATTAGCTCATATAAACTTTAACTTCAGTCCTTCACAAGCACAGTTTTCAGTATTAAAACCCCAGCTGGGTAAAGGAAAAAAGTTACGCGTATACGAAGGAAAAAGAGAAGGAGTCTTCATGCTAGATATTGCAAGCTCCTTGAAGTTTAATGAGGCAACATCTCAACCATTAACACCCAATTACTATTACACTGTACACACAGAATGGCTCTCAACATGCAACGCCTGAGCCGGCGGCACATAGCTAACGTAACAGTGCAAACTATGAGTCTCTGCTCAGGTAGACATTACTCCACTATATCTTTACATGGATAATACTTGTTTGCTGCTATAGTGATGCTCTAGATATTGTATATTGCCCCTTTAGAAAACAGCAATAAATATACAGTTTTCACAGAAAGAAAGGAAGTTAACTGGACAGCACAATCAACTCTATCATGAGGCAATATTCATACACAAGGATGAAATCTGAAGAAATAGCTTAAATAATATAATTAATTCCCAGAAGAAATCTTATGGCCCTGAGAAAAAAAGCTAGAGTCTAAGAATATATTGCAAAATGTCAGAATTATTCCTCCTTCAAAGGGAAAATCAACCTTTTTAACATGAAATTTAAAAAACGTGAGATTTTCAAGGGTCATATAAAATGTGTACAGTGTGGTGTAGAGTACAATATGTTCTCCAAAGCTACACTGTGGAAATACATATGTACAGCATGCATTTCCCTGCACGGAAAAGTTTAAAATATTACTAGTTATGCGAATATTTTACACAAATTCTTATGATACTCAACATCCGATCTCTCTGTGTCTACCTTTTTTAAACATATACTGTTGTCTTTGTGCACCCCCTTTTGTGAAAGCTCAGTGCACATCGTGTTTATTAGTATGGCAGTCTCATTTTCACCTCACCGAGCCTGGGGGCAGGGCTGGCAGTGGCTGGTTGGCAGTGTCTGCCATGCTGGCACACAGATGCCTCAGTTAAAGGGCACTGGGTTTGTGCCTGCTACTTCTCGACAAATCTGTCCCTCAAAGTCATCTTGGGAGTGCAGGGTGGCCAACAGAGAAGTCATTAAATTGAAAAATGAGAGCGAAAACAGAGGAAATGTCTGAAGCTCTTCACAGTAAAAATGGTTGAAAAGGAGGAGAAAATAAGACAAACCATGAAACACTGAGAGAGAAAACCTTTAGAATAGAGATAGGCCGACGCAAACTAATTAACAAGAGGAACATGAGAAGGATGAAGCTGTCGCCTCGCTTAACAGCTCTTCCATGTCCACAGGAAAAAACAAAGTTTCCTCCCTTTCCTGAGCTAAAGCCACACTCGGCGACTCTTTGCTGCACTCTTAACGCAAAGCTTTAGTTTGTTTTGAGGCCACAGCACAATAGAAAGCATATGGAGTGAAAAAACATATGGAACCGCAGCAGAAAATACAACCTTTTAGCCATGCTGCTGCATATGGATTTTGACCTTTTTAATTTTCTTGAGAGGCAGCCAACTTAGCAGACCTCTCCCTGACTTGTTGGGGGCAGAAGCCACAGCTCTCTGCAATGCAGTGTCTTTGTTTAGTTTGACAGGGAAACGGTCACTGACAAAAAATGACACATTTGTGTTGGTTTAGCTGTACAAGTCTGTTTATTGAGTATCACACATTTCTGTTCTCAGATTTCTCACAACTCTGCTGGCAGTGTTTGTATGAAGTGTTTTGGAAAATTATCTGATTGCTCACAAAGTTACTTCAAGTCTCTACTAGCTATACTGAGACAGCTTTAGGGTTTTGGTTATGGACCCAGAGGGATGTGAGAATTTGAAAACAATGGTATTTGTCTAAGTTAGAAACTCACTTGAGTAAACGTTGCCTAATATCTCAGTATAGCTAAAACAATATAGCTAAGACTGTTTTTTCTTGTCCTCAAATATTTTAGGCAGATGTAATCTGTACATGTAGTGACATGCAGGCTATGGTGCACCCTGGAAACTGCTTCTCATATATCATAAAACCTGTGAAGTGAACAATCCAACACAAACCACAAGAGGCTCGTTAAAAATTGGTAAAATCTAATACTAATATATTCACTAACAAAAGGGACACAACATAACACTAAATAAAATAGTGTAATTATTGACAAGTACATAGAGAGGTAAAAGCTCCAGGAGGCCAACAACTATAACTTTGAACCACTAGGGGGAGTGGTTGGCACAACTACAACTACACGTTTGGACAGAGATCTGTCTGATACTTTCCCTGTGTGAATACAGATCTGATATAAACTGTTGTATCAGTGTGGTTGAACGCTTGCTTTAACTGTGGCGCTCTGTTAGATCTGATACCATCTCCGGGAAGAGAGAGTGTTATTTTCTCGGAGCGTCTGACCCAGGACTGATCTTAGTTTCAATCCTGAGGTCTGGAGACAGCTGCAGAGCAAGGCTGCCAAAGGGAGCAGCTATCATTGGTAACCTCCTGCAGCATTGATAATGGCAGCGTTGCCTTTGCAGCACGGGAACGATCCAGCCTCTATCAACAGGTCTAAAGGCCTGTCAATGCCCCAAAGGAAAATACAACACAGTTAGAACAGCTTCATGTCAACTGAGACTCTGTGTGCAGAGGTGTTTGTATTTGTTTGTCGGACAGTATCTAGATCTATTTTTAAACTTGATTTAATTTAAGATTAGAGTGGGTTTTAAGTTTAAGTTGAGAAATGTACATCAATTTGGCTCAAACTCTTGTTTGGGTTCGATTTGATCCAGAAAATCAGAATGTTTTTGCATAATAGATTGAAAAACATGTATACCAGGCTAGTTTTCACAGAACATAGGACCTTGGGAACAGAGGAATGACTGCTTAGCATCAGTGTCTTGTTAGCATTGTCACTGAGAGCATGCTAGCATGCTGGTGTTTGCGTTCATCACAAAGCACCACTGTGATGAGGTTCAGCTTCACAGAGCCGCTACCGTAGCTGTAGACTCTTAGTTTCGATGTTAAACATTAAATGTTTTTGTGCACTCTCCACATTTGCCACCACATCTAAGAGATTGGCTGGGTGTCAGTATGTGGGGTCTGTCCAATTGTTGAGCATCATGTAAATGTCTGATTCTATATCAACCAAGTCTACACTGTACGAAACCATTTCACAAAAAAATTGTTAACGACGTTTGTTTTTCTTGTGCCACTTCTGTCAGCGTCCTACATTCTGTATCAGGTTGATACAAGCAAGCATGTGTCCCTTCTGTGTTTCAAAGTATTTGTCATTCAGTCAACACTGTGGAATTGTGACATATTTCAAAGTCGCTATGCAGGCTGTTCATCCAGAGCTTGCACAAGTATTTATCCTAAAAGCTCTATGATGACAGCCTTGAATGTCTTCAGATCCAGAGGAGCAGGCAGGATACACAGCAGCCTCCACAATTAAACACTAACCAGCACCAAAGCAGATCCATTTTATTGTCTCCGTCATTTATTTTCACCAGCACCCCTTGCTGCAAATCAAAGAATATCTGAATGTATCTTATCAAGAGTGGACTGTTCTATCATGGTATGTCTGATCCCTGATATTAAAGGGTCTGGGTGTGACCCTGCTAAATGTTACCAATGACCTCAATGCTGTAAAGCCAGATATGAAACAGTGCCATTTGGACGTCCTGAATGTTAACTTTCCCCTGGTCTGCAGATGAGCAGGCAAAGCAGCAGAGGTGGTGTCCTATTTTTGGAGGGGCTATCAGCAACCCAATGGCATAGGTCTGAGTGACAGGACAAGTGTTGCGTTGGACCCTCCCCTCGCTCGTTTAAGGCAGGCATTCCTCAGTGTAAGCAGACACAGACCCCCCCACCCCTCCCATCATATTTCTCTCTCCCTCTTCCTTGGCGATGATGGTTGGCCCCCTCTGGGTATGGGTGGGCGCACAGACGTGTGTGTGTGCATGTGTGTGTGTTCAGGTGTGAGCATTGGCCTTGGAGCTGGATTCAGAGAGAAGTCGGCGTACGGACAGTGTGGCGGACAAAGAGCACGTCAGAGCTCTGTGAGGGGGCCCTGACCGCTGACCATGGGGCCAACGCACTGAGGGCCCCCCAGACGAAACAGAAAAAAACAAAGAGGAGCAGAAAATTACCAAGAAAAAGAAGACAGAGAGAGCAGAACAATGAATGTAGAGGAAGCGATAATTACGTTGTCCGGTGGAGCGCCGTGGGGCTTTCGTCTCCAGGGAGGCGTGGAACATCAGAAACCGCTGCAGGTGGCTAAGGTAAGGCAGGTCACTCAGCAGGCCAGACAAAAGAAGTCATTTCACGGTTTTCTGAGTGGAAAGAAGAAAAGTGTGTTCGATGCAACAGCCACGGTATAGACAAGTGAAACATCAGCTGGCATATATTAAGTGGAGATTTAAGGAGCTGTGAACAAGGTTAGAATGGACTATTGGCTGCCATGCAGGTTGGTTTGGGGCCTGAATATGAGTCATCATCTTGTTAGAGTGCTTTTCATGCAGAGGCGCACCAATGATTGATTGGGTGAACTTAAAACTTAAAGTTCAGCTGGGAATATAGAGTAACCATGTCACATATCTTATGAATGCTGCTTCTCCTGTTTCACTGCATGAATCTTAAAGTTTAAAATCTGAACTGTTCTATATTGGGTACCTGTTGTTTCTTTTGACAAATAACTTTGGCTTTGTGCTACTTACTGGCGCTGTACTTCTGCAATGCTTTCAGCAGTGAAAGGTTCACATAATAGCAGAGATTTCTGGTATTAAGGTCATCGTTTTGTAAACTTTTTTGTTTGTTTGTTTGTTTATTGTGAGGAGCTTATGGATACAACACACCATTCACCCATAACCATAAGCGGTTTCATAAGTTTGTTCAATTCAACAAGCATGTTTCCACTACACAATCATTTCAGTAAGATATATAATTACTCCAGTCATGCTTGGTCATGTTTGAACATGTTTACCTGAGATTTATCCTGAAACACTGTTGTAACAGTAAAAAACACACACAGTAGGTGAGCAATGAACGTCATGAATGTCTGGATTTAGTTCAGTTCTTGACATTTGATACAAAACACTAAAATGACGCAGCTTTGTGATAATTACGGACTACTTTTATATCTGCTTGTATAAAGAAGTTCACTGAAATAAAATATTGTGTGAACTATTTAACTTTATAACTCTCAGCTCATTTTACTGCCCGAAAGCAAATTCTTCACGGACAAGAATTTGTGGCCCCCATTTGGGACCAGTGAAGCCATCCAGATTTAAATTCCGGTCTCCATTTGAGAGAACAAAGATTCACATGTACGCCAAAGGGGAATATATACTGGATAAAATGATTAATTAGTCTTCAAGCAGTAAAATATTGCACCTCTGAGAGATAAAGCTAAAAGTGTAAGGAACAAAAAAGAAGAAAAAAAAAGTCGCAGTTACATTTTCTGACTTCATGTCGATCCTTTTGCAGTTTCTCAGTTCCATGTCATCACCATCTGTGACATGAGTTGTAAAAATCATCAATGGCGTTTCTCCTCGCTCTATCAACCTTGTCCTTCCTGTTTAAAAAGGCTCGGGCCTTCCATGAAATCTTTACATAGACAGATCTAATTTCCAGATAGAACAGTTCAGGTTTTAGTACACCTGCAAACACATTATACACACATACATGTACACACATGACACAAACACACGTATCCATACATACTTTCAATAAGTGTTGACTGAGCAGAACTACTTTTCCAGGTGGCTATTTTTGGTTGAGAAGCAGCAGGTCACGGGATCAGCCAAGGTGTGTGTTTCAGCTCAGAGCTAAAAAATTAACCTCATACACTATTTTTATCAATGCACTACTCAGTATCGTGCCGCATACCTTCTTTTTGCAGGTACATATGCAAATTAAAAACCCTGATTGCTAAACCTCTATTGTATTTCATATTGCTCCTGTTCAGGCGCCACATGAGCTGTGATTAAATGACCAGGAGAGAGAAAACAACTTGCTTTGGTCGACCTCTTTTTCATTTATGACATCCTGTTCATCATTTTTTTTCATATTTCTCCAAAATTCAGCCTGACAATTTTAATATCTTTGAATATTTTGTACAGATTTTCAAAAAAAATTGCCGGTTTGTCCACATAACATTGGGTTTGTAATTATTGTCCCCTCGGCTCATATACTGTATCTAAAACCTGTCTTATCTATCATCTACCTCATGAAGATCTAAGTCATCCATTGTGTTTTCCATTATGTACCTTTCTATCGTTGTTGGCTTATGCAGAATGTGCTAGTATGAACACAGAGCCAGAGGAGACTAAATCACCTTTATGGCGGTAGACGACAGCTGGTTCTGTCTGACCGTCCAAAACAGAACGGTCCATCACCCCTGAGAGCAGGAAGTTGCAATCTTGTCAGGTCTCATACTACACCGTCCCTAACAGGTGGAGCAGTTTGGGGCTTCACTGAAAGAGCCAGTGTGTCAGTGCTGGGTCTGTGCCTGTGGGTCTGCATGCACGTGTTTGTGTGTTTATTTATATGACTTTATGTGTATTTTTGTATCAGTCCATGTGGTGGTATGTGTGTGCAAGCATGTACGAGTATTATAACTGTTATGACTTGAAACCACAAGGTGACTGACGGAATGAATAACTGACATCCTGTACCACAAGCAGGCACAGCCCACTTTGAAAGGCTTAGCTAAATGCGGATGTGGGATTTCATTTCAGGCCAACCAGAATAACTGGAAAAAAACCGTATTGGGTCAACCAAAGCAACTTTTCCTAATCTGTGAAATCTAACTATAATATTTATTTATTACATGGCAGTGCCCTCAGTGCAATGAATGCGATCAACACTGCAGTCAGTGTCTTTGAGATGTTTTAAACATCTGCTTTGAATTTATTATGGGACATGTTGACATGGTCTGCATAGACCTGAGGCAATTTAGGGTGGGCACAGCGCCATGGTCCTGACAGACCTCGTGCACAAATAGCAAAGCACCAAATTAAGATGGCTACTGGCTGACATTTCGCTGTTAAAGTGTGTATGAGTGCTCCACTCGAGCTGCAATATGTGGCATATGTCCGCAGCAAGATCAAGCTGTCAGGACAAAAGCTGCTCACTGCCAGTCACTATCACAAACCAAGACAAGACCGCAGCATCGCTCTGTCTGACTTTTATATTCCATACAAGTCATATCTGATATGATATAATCCTGTAACAATAGAATATGAACACTGTATAAACAGTAAAGAGAAATATACATATGTCCTTCCATTTCCCTTTCCAGTATTTGTAAAAAAAAGTATTTGACGTTTTTGTGAGTGTTTGTAATTTTGCTCTCCTTTGCCGGTGCTGATGCTGGTGCAGGTGCGTAAACGCAGCAAGGCATGCAGGGCTGGGCTTCAGGAGGCTGATGAACTGCTGTCCATCAACGAACAGCCATGTGGAACGCTGTCCCATGCTCAGGCCATGGACCTCATCGACACCTCTCCTGGGATATTACACATCCGGGTCAGAAGGTCAGAGGAGCTAAAGTATTGTACTCTTACTAGTCTTAAGTCATCATCAACCTTTTGTAATGGATCAAGCACAAGGTCACAAGTCTTGAACTATTTACAATGTGCACTGTATCAAACACAGATACTACTGCATATCATATCATATTTTATAAAATATATAATATGTATTATATGAATATTGTAAAACATTAGAACTAACAGATGTTTTTGTGTGCCAAGATCCTACATACTGTAAAAATCCAGATTTATTTAATTTGGTTCTAATAAAGCATCCAACGAGTCCATCTATATTTTAAACCCTCCACTTGTTTGCAGGGTGCCTGCTGGTTTTCAGTCCGTGGTGCTTGTGACCCGCGCCCCATCTCCCCGTATAGACAAAGAATACCGCGTTACTCTGCGTGCCATGTCACCCAACCACCCTCACCATGCACCCATCCGAGAAGTCCACCGTAGCCACTCCTCCACAACCAGTGGATTGACATCTCCACCTGGAAGTGAGGCTTACTACGGCGAAACTGACAGTGATGCGGATGTGGCGGGATTTGAGAGGCAGCGCCGGCAGAAACGCCGCAGCCCCAGCAACTCCACCCCGGGGAAACCAGCAGGCCGAGCCTCGCCTGAGGGTGGAGAGACGTCAGAGATGAGTGGCTATGACAGCGCTCCAGACGCACATGTTTACCCCACTTTGTTGGAAGGATGTGGGGGAGATGGAGAAGGGGGTCGTGCAGGGGTGGCACGCAGGGAGGTGATTTACCAGCCTCCTGGTCCAGGAATGTGGTCCTCCCAGACATCCACTGAGACCTCCTCCATCATCTCCTCAGCAGATGACCAGGGGCCACGGGATGTAGGGCAAGAGGAGGATAGTGGCTTTCTTGAGCCATCCAAAGTCCCACTGGTATCTCCTGAGAGGGCAAAGGAGGCCATGATGCTGGGCTCCCGCAGCCAGCTTGTACCCATGGTGGGTCCTTTGAATAAACCCATCGACGAGGAGCTTTCAACAACCTACGTGGAAAAGGCCAAACAAGCCAGTAAGTACAGCTGAGGAAGAACAATGAGAGAGACCTGTGCATCCCATATATATGTATGTCTTTCCACCTTGAACACCATACTGAAAATACCGCCATCAACACTACCTTATTTGCAACATTTCATCCCTTAAGCAAACCTCCAAAAGAGTTGAAAACAACCCTATAGACAGTTTAAACTCATAACTGAATCAGCAGACAGAAAACTTAATTTTGTAACGAACCCTTCCCTGTTTGAAAAAACATATTCACAATATTTATCCTAAGGAGGACTGAGCCAAATTCAAAGCAGTTCAATACCTTTTCAAGCCTATTGATGCCTGAAATTGATACTAATTTTATTATTTATTACATTTATTATAGTGCCAATTGGAATAGTATTTGAGAATCTGAAATGAAGAAAACCACTGTGTCCCAGTCATTTAAGTCGACCACCATAAATAACCAAATGTTCATATGTTTTCTTTTAGGTTAGTAGTCCAGTGTGATTGTGTCAACCTAAGTCTGTTAAACAGAACATGGTCGCTATGGTTTACTATATTTACCTCCAGTGTTGTGTGTAAAAATCCAAGCGATCAATCTGGGATCACTGCAAAGCATCTACAGCTGCTTTTAGGTATCAAGTTGCAAAGTAGGGATACTCTTATTTTCCCTGACTCTCTCTCGCTCTCTTCTCTCTTTGTTTCTCTTGCTGTCCGATCTTTTGGCTATTTTATCAACTTAATGAAAGAACAAAAGTGTGATTTGTTTATCAACGCTCACTATGACATAGCCTAAAAAACCAACCGGTCATGTCTTACTGTTTTTGGTATTTACAAACTCTGAAGAGAAGTCAACAATTGTGACAATACAGTGACACAACACCATATACAGAGCACTGACACTGACCAAGAATACCTTCCTACAACTTGTCATCTTGTCCATCATCAATAATAAGCCCAGGAAAAGAACAGAACTGGGCTATTTTAAGTCAAGGGGCTGTTTTAATAACTTATCCTTGTAAATCCATCTTGCCATCTCTGAGTGCAGGTTTAACATCTCATGTCCTACTTAGGAACCCTGTCCTAGACACATTAAGAACTCCCTTCATGTGGCACTGCATATTACGGTAACATAATGTTAATCTGCTTAATACCATAACAAGTTAAATGATATGTTGTGGCTACCCTTTGAAGTTCCCCTTCCAGTCACCTACATCATACAACTTTCCACTAGCTTGTAGATATTTCTAGTTAAGTTAGATGTCAGAGTACATAAGACTAACAATGTGCGAATGTATCCTTCACCCCAGCTAATGTGAGAAGCTGAAAGCTTGCCTTGAATTTTCAAGGAAGTGCTCCTGTTATGAGATAGATGCCTGTTGAAGGCATGGTGGTCAGTATAGGTTTAGATGCTCATGTCAGAGTCAGTTCTTGGTGGTTAAACCTTAAACTTGTTAATTCATTTTTCTGACCTCAATACAGTATTGATGTTAGGCTATCGTGCTACTGTTCCTAATAGCTATGGCTTTCATACTCTGCAGAACTGAACCGAGGGGATACTGTGCAAGACAAGAATGTAAAAGAGGCCAAAAGCAAGTGTCGAACAATTGCATCCCTACTGACTGATGCTCCCAACCCTCACTCCAAAGGGGTGCTGATGTTCAAGAAGAGGCGGCAGCGCTCCAAGAAGTACACTCTCACTAGTTTTGGTAGTGTGGATGAGGATAGGTGTCAGGACTCCCAAGAGGAGGATGGAGTATTCCCTGGCAGCGAATCAGAGTTTGATGAGGATGGCTTTTCAGCAGCTCCTGATCCAACTTGGGATAGTGATTACTTGGAGATGCTTGAGAAGAGGGCAACTGCAGGCACCGAAGGTCGTGGGGATGGGGCAGAGGATGCTCCAAGCCCAGGGTTGAGTGACACCACAGGCAAGGGCGCCCAGTTGTTTGAGCAGCAGAGAAAGAGGGCTGCTGAGCATGCCAAGAAAGTGGAGGTGGCACAACCTCAGGCTCTTGCACAGTCTCAAGTCCAGAGGCAGGCCCAGATGTACCAGTTGCATCCAGAGATGCAGCCAAACCTCCAGCCTCAGCAGATGATACCACCTGGCACTATAGCCAAACAGCAAGAGCTGTCTCAGGCTCCAGGTCCAGTTGCAGCCTATGGAATGTCTAATGGGGATCTATCCTACTCTACAGTTAGTAGTAGCATGATGATGTCAACTCCTCCTGTGGCACCCAAACCAGCTACTGCCTCAGTGACTGTTCTGACCAGACCTGCACCACCAGCTGAAACACCATTATCAGAACTACCTGCTAGTAATGTTCTCAACAGAACGGCACGTCCTTTCACTCCAGGCTTCATCAGCATTCGAGCTGCAACGGCGCCTGTAGCATTCAGACCTTCTGTCACAAAGACGAGCCAGCGCCCTGCCTCAGCAGCCATTATGCCATCACGATTCTCTGCCTCTGAACTAGCCATGAATGCTACATCAGTAACATCACAGCTAGCCCCATGTCCTCCGTCAGTGTCCTCCCCACCCTTCTTTGTACCTCAAGGCCAGACACCAGAAGCTCCTGTTGCTTTTTACCCTCCAGCTGTCTCTACTTCTGTACCACAAATGACTGCCGCTCATCAGGCTACATTTGTAGCTATGCCCCCAGTGTATATGGCTCCACAAGCACCAATGGCTCCAGCCCCAGCTTTTGCTGTATCTCAATTTCCTAGTTCACCTGAACTATTTGCCCCAGCACCTCCACTTCATGTGCCAGTTGCTCAGTCACACCGACCTCAATTTTCCATGGCACCTGTAGCTCCAGTGTCAGTAGTCTCTCAGCCAGAAGCTGTACCGCCAACCCCTGTTCCTGGTCCAACAGGTCGCACAGGAATCTTAAATGATGCTCGCAGACGAGGTGGCAAACCCAAACCTATGTTCAATGTGCCAGATGTCAAGAAGAACTCCCCAAATCCAGACTTATTGTGTATGGTGCAGAATCTGGATGACAGGTCCACCCGATACAAATATGGCCAACCACCGCCTGAAGCTAACTATGACGATGTAGAGGAGGAGAGGAGTGTTGAGGCGGGCATGGGAAGGGCTCCTCCTCCAGTGGCACCCAAGCCTCGGGTCATCCACGAGACCCCACAGTTTCTTCAAGCAGGGGGTAAGGGGGCCCAGCTGTTCGCCCGCAGACAGACCCGTATGGGTATGTATGTAGTGGACACCCCACCCGACACCCCTTACCAGCAGGAAGTAGCCTCACACAGTGCAGCCACAGTGCTTGACTCCTCCCCAAATCCTTCATTTGTCTCTCAGTGGAAATACTCCCCAAATGTCCGTGCTCCTCCACCCATTGGGTACAATCCACTCCTGGTCCCTTCTATCCCTACGGGGCCTCAGAGGAATACAGGGAAGCCAGAGAGCAGGGGTAGAGGATGCTCCCAAAAAGAGGGCATCAAAGCTATTGATGTCATGAGAAGGCAGCCCTATCAGCTCAACTCTGCCATGTTCAACTACAGGGGCAGTGTTGCTAATATATCAGCCATGCCTTCTTACCAGGCCCAGTGGCAGCAGGGTGACTACACAACAATGGTGGGCAGCTCATTAACCTCACCTAAGCAGATCCCCATCAAAAGAGGCCGTGTCTTCGAGGTCAAGCGATTCTCCACACCCACACCCATGTCAGCTCCTACTCTGGCAACCAAGGTTATTGCACCCCGCTCTGCAACTACACTTGGAGAACGTTTGACTGATTTTGGAATGATCTCCCCACCTCCTGCTCATTTCGCTCCAACCCCAACTCCTCTCTTGAAACCAGCACCAGTCAGTGCCCTGACACTAGCTTCACCTCCATCCCAACCAGCTGGGCTGCCCGGCCTCCCAAAATTCTCTGCTACCCCTATTCAACACCCTATGCCCCCTGCAGTCCCTACACCTTACACTCCAGTATCATACATCAGTGGGCTCCAAGCAGCCAAGCAGTTCCAGAGCACTCCTGAACTAAGTTTCCTTGCCTCTTTGCCCCCACTCAAGTCCGACCCAGTTCAGGCACCCAAACCACGTTTTGTTGCCACCAAGGGAGGAGTTCAACCCCATGTCTGGAGGCCAGGGACAATGTAAACACCAGAAAATCAGTCACTACCACTCTTGGACATCTTCATGTACTATTCATTTAGTACTGATTTTGTTAACTGCTTCATTGTTTAAGTCAAAAATGCAAAATATACATTGGTTCTAGTTTCTCAAATGTGACATGATTCTGCTTTTCTCATCTTAGATCATTGTAAATTGAATATCTTTGGGTTTTGGGTGGGGCTTAGGCTTTGAAAAATTGTGTTGGGCAGTCCTCTAATAAATCAATTAATAAAAAAGTGACAAATGAATGAACAAGCAGCCCTACATTAATTAATTTAAGCCTCAAATTCAGCTGAAGTGATTCTGTATAAGGTTGAAATCCAAAAGTCTGTCAAGTTTTTGAACTATATGTCAGAACTTGAATAATGGTAAGACATCATACACATCTATACTTGCTGTTAGAAATACTACTTCTCACATTTATTTAGCTGTCATACCATTTACTCACACTTGCATCTGAATTACAATAATATATAGATCATACTGCCACATACTGTAGGCTGTATAGTCCACCGTATGCCTGTCCTGGGGGAGGTTTGTGTAAGGCTTCTGGAGATCTCTTTCTACTAATTTAGCAGAAATACCATCTAAACAGAGCCTGTACTGAAATATTCTTTAAAACTTGAAATGTCTAAAAGATGTTGAAAATGAATAGTTGCGGTTCGGAACATATGATTAAATCCCAGAAGAAATACTGTATGTTGTTGTAGGTTGACAGGTGGAGGATCATAAAGCAAAAATAGCAGGTTCATTTCTTTTATCTATCTTTAAACATTTAATTCTGTTATTCAGTACTTGTCCTATTCTAAATGATGTGCACAAAATGTCTTTTTACTCCCTTCTGTTTGTAGAATTGTCAAGAATAAACACACGATGACCTAGTCTCCTTGTCCAGGGGTGTACATGATGCATGACCAGTTTAATATTGTAAAGTGTTTTTAAATGCCTTCGCTCACCTTGGAACTATATGTGAAGAAAAGGTCTGCTCTTGCAAGTGTCAGTGAGGTTGTGCCAAATACCTCTGCTCACTATAGCCAGAGAGAAACGCTATCTTTTAGCATTGGTCACGTTCAACGAGTGCCAGTGAATGTACACTTGTCACTGGATATCACAGCTTCCATTAGGACAACCAAAGCCTCCTTAGTATTAGTTTGATCTTTGCAGATATGTAAATTCTCAACTTTTATGAAACAAATTACACAGATGAAGGAATGTGTATTTGGTTTTGTTTAATTGTGATATTTATCTGGGGTGGTGCAAGGGGAAGTTGACTGACTGAGAGGCACCAGAATTTATAAAAAGATGCAAGAAATGAGAGTGGCTGTGGAGGAGGGATGTAGGCAGTATTTATACCAAATGGGGTCATAGCTCGCCATTTGCGGGTTTTTGGAATTTATAGTTGAATTGTTCTGAAATTCCACAGCCGGTAGAAGTTAACGAGGGATGCACAGGAAAGTTGGTAAAGCTGAAGCTGATGGAAATAAGCATATAAGTTTAGCTGGTGTCTTTCCATTAACAATGGTTGCTGTTAAAAAGTAAGGATTAACATTGAATGGCTATATACCTTGAGAGACTATGTATGTTAATGGAAACAAAGAAATACATTTGTTGTTTTGAGTTTTGGAATTCTTGGGGAGGTATTTTTGTTATTTTTTACAACTTTAAAAATATAATTTCTCTTAAAGCTTTTTCTTGTTCTCATAATATAATGGCAACAAAAAATTTAGAGTGTGGATATAATGATGTTGAGGTGTACAATATGATAAATACATGTTGAATGTTGTTTGATTCAATGAAAAGTGTGAAAATGTTTATTAATGCTGCGTAGACGTTTATATTTGAGTGGGAGACAAAACATTTTTAGAGGAATAAAATTAGATTTGAAAGCTGTCCAGTTGTCTGACATGTCTGATTTTACACTGCCCCCTGTTGCTGATTGTGTGATCCTGCTCTTTTATTTCAACGTTGATTACATGCATTCAATGATATCACAGATTGAGCAGTGCAATAACTAACTAGTATTAGTTTTAATTAAAATAAAAAAAGTTGAACCATACACTCAAAGGGTAAAAATGCTTTGCAGGACAACACACACACACACGCACACACACACATACACACAGTAAGTACTTTTTTACCACAGCATGGCCTCCATTCAGTTACATGCATCTGCACTTGAATAAATATAGAATAGTCCGTTTTTAGCTGAGAGACATTTGACTTAAAATATATTCCAACTTCCAAGACAGATCATTTCACAAAGCAAGATTGCTACAGCTCGTTAAGCAGAGTTACTTAAGCGTATTCTAGTCCAGCTCCATTAAGTGTCTAATGTAAGAAACTAGACAAGATTAAGTGATTAAGAGTAACTTAATAGTAACTCAAATGTTGATTTAATGTGGTAAAAGTCACTTCCCCATCCTTTCACATTTGTGTTTAAAACCTTTGCCACTGAGTGGCGCTGTGGAGTCCTCTGTGACCAGGCGTTCAGTCAGAAGGGCTTTATGCTGCCAACTCCACACAGTGCCTATATATAGGGCTGTTAATATCCAAAACTATTTATGGAGGACATTACAATTTTCCAGGTCACTTCTGTAATTAAGAATTGGTTCTTAATTTAACTGCTTAAAAATATTTTTTAAAACTCAGCTTCTGTAAGATAAGGTTTCTATTTCAAGATGTATTTAAAACACCATGTTCACCAGTCTTCATGGTACTTATGTATGAAATCTTTTCTAGTGACAGAAATAGAAGTGCAGTGAGATAAGCCAAATCATTTTTCAGATGATCTAATTCCTCACACCTTAATGTCTCCCTCTTTCTCTTTATTGTAATATTTGGTTGGCATTTCATTTGCAACTGAATTTATTGCCCCAGAGGTACGGAAGCCTGTGGAGGAGTTATAGAAACAGGAAGAGTAAAACAAAAATGGGAGTAAAAGCAGCTAAAAAAAGAGAAGCACACATAATTAAACCATAATAAAATCTGAAATTAGAATCAGCCGGAGAAGGCCTATGCACAGTAAATGAGTATAAAAAAGAGATTTGAGGGGAGACACAGCCAATAGGGACTCAAAAAACAAAACAAAAGTTGGTTTGCTTTAATTATGCCTTCTCTATTTTGGATAGTAGATTAAAGATGGGTTTAAATGTACTGAGTACTGTGGGATTGAGACCTGTGATTGTGAGAGGAGGCTGGACAAGAGCGTGCTTAAAATAAGGCAAATCTGAGCAGAATATAAGTGAGACATTTATGATAAACAAAACTACTGATGTTGGGTTATTGCTCAGATGCATGGCTGAAAAAAGTACCACTTTCAAGTACAAAACTAAGGTAAGTGATACAGATCCACAGATATACTGTATCATCATGTTAAATTTGGCATTTAAATAGCAGAACTACACTTTAACTCAGTCAGGAGAACAGCAAAAGCTGCACAGTGTAGCTGCTAGTCAGTCATAATTTAGTATTTCATTTCATTTCACCAGCACACAATCAGACCAACATTCAGAGAAAGCTCTTATCAGATTCAGAGCCTTAACTTTAAGCTGCATTCATAAAAACCTGAAGGTCATTGAGGAACCTCGAGATTAAGTTGCAGGATTGTTTAACTGGCAATAATGTTCTCACAAATATGACAATGCTACACCATACAGTATGCACAATATAATTCACAAAACTGCAAACTCGCTAAACTCTTTTGATCATATAAATACTGATATATATATATCTACATGTATATATAGTCACATCTATAGTAAGATCGTAAGATCGTCTCCTCTACAATATGTTATTTTGTTAGTTTGTTGCAAAAAGCGGAATTATTATTACTGTGAATTTTAAATAAATGTATAAAACCTGATGCTATGACATTTCAGCAGTCAATGGTAAAATATGAGATGATTAAGCCCAGTTGAAATATAATTATTTTTCATTTATTTGTATTAAATGTCATAAAAGTGTATACAGAATTTTGCAATTAATTTAGTGTAGTAGAGAACAGAGCTACACATTTTAACAACATGAGAAGTGACCATTTTCGAGAAGGAAGACAAATGTAAAAAAAAAAGGGATTTAGTATTTTTCCACAAGAATTGTATATCCTGACTTTGTGGAGAATGCTTTGACATTTACATTATTGTATCAAAATAATCATGTTATTTTTGGTGGCTGGTCTACAATTTCATTGATATTTGGGAACACATGGGGGGAGGGGAGGGGGGGTACGTGCTGAGGAAGTTTGGACTCAAGACTTCAGTATTTCTAAAATCCTGGCTACCAACCAACATTTTCAAGATTTGTTTCATGCATTCGTCCTGCAGCTTGAAACACTCAAAACGTCCATCATGTCCACGATGCTTCTGAAAAAACTGAAAGTGTGACAATGTAGTGTCAGGTCAGGGTTATGTTGCGAGTAAAGGAGTCTTAATACGTTATACACACATATGCTTAACCTTAAACTTGCACTGTGCACTTGTGTGTACCCCAAACACACCCCAGTCCTTTGAGGTTATCTTAGAGCCTCGGTCTTTGCTGCTAAATATAGGCTTCTGAACCATCTGTGAGAATGATTTTGTTCCCTTAATATCTCCATCAGCACTTTCAGCTAGGCAAGAGAGACTTCTCCCCCCACCTTAAAGCCCCCCAATCCCTATTCATACTCCTAACCTCAACCTCCTCCTCCTCCTCCTCCTTCCTTCTTGACACCAACACCGCTGCTACCCACACCCCCAACCCTCTGAAAGATTTGCCGTCTGAGTGTGGAGTGGGTTTTGTACTTCCCGGACCTGGGTCCAGCCATACGTAGTGTCAGAGGCACAGAGGGATTTGTAAACTTGTGATCCAGATCACCAGCATTGAGGGTCTCCTCTTCTCTGTTTGGTATTTATAAGTGTGTCTGTCCTCCCAGGATTGCAACAAAAACCCGGTGAGTGGATCTGCATCCCAATCGGTGTGCTTATTTATACCAAAAACAGCTTGGGTTTAAATTCTGGCTACAACTAAAAATGGGGAGAGGCAATAAAGATATGCAACATGTTCCCAATCATAATTTCTGCGTTGTGCAGTTGATCACGGTGGGTAAAATGGAGGGGGACATTAAAAACCCAGTGAAACAGATTATTACTTTGCTTTTGATGGAAATGTTTTGGATTCTACCGACGATTAAGAGAAAAAATGTCTCAGGGATTCACTTCGCAACTTTTAGATTTGCTTGGTACGTCTTTAAATGACCAAAGGAATGGGCGAATGTGCTGACCACCCGTCTCTGTGGGTGGTGCAGAGATTTTATATGGTGTTACCAAACACTGACAGGGCAACTAAACCGGTGTCCAAAACCTTCCTCGTTACATCCACAGCTGCTCCAGATCCCGCTGGTGTTTTGAGAGAGATTAGAACATACACTTGTTTTCTGGAGGTGTGTATTGTGTCCTTAAGAGTTGGGTCAAGCCCATTTGATAGCTGAATGACCCCATTACACGTCCCTAAAATGTCTTGGCTGGAAATGTCTTTTAAAAATAGCCGTAGGTTGAGTTACAGTCAGTAGATGTGATGTGATGTTTTGCCAATTCAAGAAACTGTTGCTGAAGTTGCTTATATGTATAAAGAAAGACAAAAAAAATGTAGAATAAACACGTAGGATAACGTAAGAACCAGATGCTACCCACACTCAGACTGAAAAGGCACCATAGGTTGCAAGAAATGTTACTTTGCTTCAATGGTGAGTGACATCTCGACAGACGAGAGAGTAATCGCTCCCACTTTCCCCGCCTACATGTTCCCATGTAGGCCGCAAATTGGGGGAACATGATCAGATGCTATTTTATGATCCTGAGGCCTTAAACTTTACTGCAGTAGAACGGCACCAGAAAGCGATGCTCACCAACTTCTCCCTGAACCTCAGTGTGCTTCTGTTTACGTTGACTCAGTCTGTGTACAGAACTTGTGTCCCTAAACACAACTGAACCACACGATAAGGCTATATGTTTCCTTTGGGGCAGACATCTGTTTCACTTGGGAATGTGGGGAATCTGAGGGCACTGACATCCCCCTTGAACTTGAAAAATGAGGAGGGTCCATACATCTTATACATTGGTCCTGTGGATTCACTTTCAGGGGTTGTTGACGGCTGTAGTTGCTGAAAGAGTGATCTTGATAAGTTGGTGCCATGATCAGAGATAATCGCAAAGTAGTCCGTTGGAAGTTTCTTTCAAATGTGTGCAACTGTTTGTAGGAACTAAAGCAACAACATTCCCTTCAGTGAATTCAACCTTAGTCTGAACCTGCAGCTACTTATACTGTCAATCTGTTATGTGAAATCCTGACATCAAGAGTCCTCAAGTTGCTGCATTGAAAACATTGCTCGCTTTAATTCTAAATTCTAAAATTCAATCAATGTTATTTATATCAAATGTATAGTTCAACAACAAAGGTTTTCTGGAGACGTTTGACATTACTTTGCTTTAGTGTCTTGAGAGAAGCAGGTTTACTTTCATCACTTCTACCACTGGTGAATGTGTTTTCCTGTAGATTTCTGTAAACCTAATACTGTTGCTGCTAACACCATGTTCTTTCCTGACCCTCCAGTCATGTCTCTTGGAAAACCAGCCCCCCTAAACAAGCGGAAAATGCTCTCCAAGATCATAACGGACTTATCACATATCGCTCAGGATGGTAAGGCTGGCATGAAGTTCCATGAATAAGAAACCAAATTGATATAATCAGTGCAGCTCGTACATGTAAACACAAAATATATTAATAGATGTATGACAGATGAGAGGTACTGCAGATGGGAACTAATCTTACAGGATATATGGAGTTATACCTGCAGTACAAGTAAGAAAGAAGTATAATAAAAGACAATTTAAAAATAAATAATTAATATAACTAAATATGCATGATTCAGGGTTGACTTTAGTTGAAATAATTTATGTATTTTGCCCTTTCAGGATACTGCACATATTTACCACTAACAGTCACTAAATGTCAGGTGTGAAAACAAAGTCGTAAGTGTTCTAAAGTGTGAATCGTTAGTCTCAATTATTTCTGGGGAAACACATACATATTTAAAAAAAAAGACGAGGAAATAGATGTGATGAAATACTTAAACATCTGTTTTCCCAAAGGTTGTCTCACTACAGAGACTGCTAGACTAATAAGTAACATTTAGTATTCCGCATTAAGACATTTCTAAATGTAACGCTCATTTGTTCCTATGTCCCTTACCTAGAGTATAAGTCGGAGCCAGAGGCATCCGAGTTCGACCTGGGAACAAAGATCAGGTCTCCCAAAGACATCATGCTGGAGGAGCTTTCCCTGTTGAAGAACAAAGGCTCCAAGATGTTCAGGATGAGGCGGAAGAGAGTGGAGAGGTTCATCTGGGAGAACAACCCTGACATCTTCAGCAGTGAGTCTATGGTGAGAGCATAGTTCATGGAGAAAACTAACTCCTTTAAGGAAAATGTATGAATTTAATGATACACTGTGAATAATACATCCAGATATTCCACAGAGGAACTCATGGAAATGTTTGAAGAAGCGTATCTACCTATCTATCTATCTCTTCTTCAGGACAACCTCCAGAAGTTTGTTCCCTCTCTGGGAGGTCAGATGGGAGGTGACATTATAAATGTTGGTGGGCATTTTGTGAGCAAACAGATTGGACTGCAGCATTTCGGAGGGATACATGCTGGAGGGGCCCCTGTGCCGCCTCCAAAGCCTGGAAGCAAAGGGGCAGGAGCAGGAGGTGTAGGAGGTGCAGGAGGTGCAGGAGGGGCAGGAGGTGCAGGAGGACTGGGTGGGGGCGACCATGGGATAGGTGAAAAGGGAGAAGGAGAGTGGTCTCCACTGAAAGGTTGGTGGCATTTATTTTTCTATTTTAAGGTCCAGTAATCTTAGAGCACACTACAGTCTGTTTTTTTATGGATTCAACTAATGAGATATATGTACATTTGTGAGATGTTTGCATATTTTGTGACATTTTTGGACAGAGTCAGGCTAGCTGTTTCCCTATATTTCCAGTCTTTGTGATAAGCTAACCAGCTGCTGGCCACATATTGAGCATACAAGAGAAAGTGGTATTGATCTCCTTCTTTAATTATTGAAACAAATCAAATACGAATATTTCCCAACATTAATGAGCCACAAATATTGCATAAATCAATTTCAACTTCAAAAAAACTTGAACAATAATATATATAATTTTTTTCAACTTTAAATGAGTGCTACTAAAGTGCTACTAACTCCAGTCAAGAGTGTCTAATTCTCTAACCATGGATGTTCTCTAGGAGGTGGAAGCGATGATGCATCTAAGAAGTTGCTTCTTATCAAGATGTACAAGTCGCCATGGGAGAAGGCCATGAAGGGTGATGAAACTCTGATAGCCACTCTGAAAACAAGAATGCCTGGTCCCGTTGAAAAGAAGGATGCGCGAAAATACAAATGCTTCAACAGGTACTTCCCTCAAGGCCCGACTTTGTACCGTAGGTGCTTTGTAACAAACAGGGGCTTTAATAATCCTCTCACCTCTCTTTTGCTAGGTCTGCCATGCCCTTTGGCGGCTTCGAGAAGGCCAACCAGTTCATGAAATTCCAGATGCCAGAATCTGAGGCCAAACAGGAGCCTGAACCAGTGGTGTACATCGGCGGCCGGCCTTCCTTCAACCGCACTCCTATTGGCTGGGTGGGCAGCGGTGAGCCCAGCACCATTCATATGGAGACAGAGGCTGTGCCCTTCGATGGAGAGACCGACGAGCTGTGAAAGAATATTCATAATACGCATACACACACACACACGATAGATGAGCTTACAGTTAACTGTTACGCTGAGGAATTTGAATCTCTGGATAACTGAAAGCGTAGAGGAAATGTGGGCATGTTCTTATGTTGCTCTGTATTCAGTTGTAAGGCAAGGAAACAAGGTATAGATGCTGAGGGGGGATGAAACATCAAACGTTTAGTTCAAGAGTTGAGTCTAAACACTCAATTTGTCAGAAAAGTGTTTGCTCTTGTTGATAAGTTGCAGATTTTGTCAATGAGGAAAGAATGAATCGAGTATGAAGGATAGATTTATGCTGTTACTGTTGTGCACACTGTCTTGATGTCAAGTTGTCACATTTATTTCCCAGTGCCTTTTTTTTGCTGTTAATATTCTCTGTTTATTTGTTGAGTGAAAGCATGCATAGAGTCAGTTACTGATCCATTAACTTACTGTGAAAACACAGTTTCTCAACTATAAACCCTTTCAAACTGTAACAGTCCTCTTGTTAAGTGATTAAAATGCCAAGGGAAATCATTTTGTGTGTGTGAAAATCCTTGAAAATCCTTCATGTGGCATGATAATGTAACATTTAAATGTCAGAAGTGTCTGGCTATTAACACGTCATTTATAAGAAGTAATCTTTTATTATATCAGGGTATAAAGTTAGGTGCTATGTATATTTTTAATCTTAGTCTATTATTATTATTGCTTACTTAACTTTTAACACCCTATGAAAATACTCCATTACAAGTACTAGTCATACATTCATAGTTAGACAAGAATTATCAGCAGAATGTAGGGCTCCTTAAAAAGTATCAAAAGTAAAAGTACTCACTAAACTGAGTATTATATTGTTATAACAAATATAACATGATTGCAGTATTATCATGTTTTAGATTTTAGGTGGAGCAAATTTAAAATATACATATGTATATGTTCAAATGAAGCCTTCATGTCATACCACTCCCGCACAGTGGGGGCAGTCGTGCTCTAAAAAGTTGTTTGCCAGTGATCACGAATGAAACAAGAAAAAAAGAAGAATTCAATAACTTTTAATGTTGGATGCCAACGTCATGATCTTCTGGTCCACGCGCTATCAGTCAGTGCAGTGTACAGTTTACCGCGTCGCTATGGACACCGGCACAGTATTATCTGGTAAAACTGCAACTTGTTCAAAACGATTAGCTAGCTTTAGCTAACGTTAGCTAACTAACTGCTGTTCGAGTAGGATAGCTTACGGGGAAGTTTTCAGATAAACTAAACAATGTGTGAATAAAACGAATAATCAAATCAACACGAACACTTGTACACACACACACACACACGCCAAGAAACTTAACGATAACAACTAACGTTAGCGAATTAGCTGGTTTGGTCACTGGGTATGGTGGCTAACAGTCAACGCTACTTTCCGGGCGCAGTGTTACTTAGCAACAGCAGTGATTGCTCCTGGCCATCGTTTTTTTTTAACGGAACCCCACGAGGCTCATTGTAACGTTTTATAGCGTTACAGTAAAAATACTGTTTCTTCGCCATTTTACCTCAATGTGTGCTTGGTCTCCAGATATGATGGTGCTAACAATAAAAAATGTACAATACAATCTGATTTAGTTTAATTATTCCTATAATGACATTTTCTGGCAGTTTCACACATCTTTTTTTAAAACAGACATGTAAAACTATAAATAAAGTATTTTCAGTTTCACGTCCATGTTGTATGTTATTTTAATCTCAAGTACTGTAACAAATTGCCACTAACATTGTTTCTTAATTGACTGTTTTAGGAGCACTACAGCGCTGTGATCTTGCCTGATGAAATCCAAATCAAAGGCCCAGTTGGCACCGCTGCCATGGGCAGAGATCCTTGCGTATTGGGTGCTGTCCTTCGGCTCTCATCTGTACTCGTTCTACCAGCTGCACAGATTCTCCAAAGGTAAAGCAGATAAGATTGACATCTGTACGTTGGTTCAATGTATTGAGAAGAATGGTTTCAAGAAAAATGAAGCTGTTGTTTCCCCCGTTTCGTTCCCCCAGAGCATGAAGCAGGATTAGAGAGAGAATTCCAGTTGGAGAAAGGCCTCGTTCAGGGTTTTAAAAGGGTAAGTTCAATGTGGAAATTACTGATTAAAACCCCAATCTGAACCAACACAAGTTTGTTTTAAGTCCATAGTGTGCAGTCCTAATCTAAAGACTTTATCCGTTTGGCTCCCTAACACATTTTTGACCATTCAAAGTGCCTTTTCAACAGGCTTCAGGTGTGATTTAAAGGCCCATGGTGAAGTTATTTGTGTTTTTGTCAGGACCCATCAGACTTTGAGTGGACTTTCTGGACAGAATGGGCTAAGAAGTCTTTGCTGTGGACTCTTGTTGGTCACGGCGTGATATCAAGATTGACCAGCATCTTTTACCCCAAGGTATAGGAAGCAGCTGCTACAGTACGGTTAAGTGGAATATTGCCATCAGGTGTTAGATGTTTTAATCCAGCATGTGTTTTATGTTTCTGCAACAGTTTCGGGTGCCAGCACTCACGATATATGGCTTCTTAGCAGCCAGCAGTGTGCTGGGGATTAAAGGAGTGAGTGTGGTGCTGGTACATCTGGGCCTGTCCTACTCAGTGGCCCAACTGCGAAAGTCAGCTCTGTCATGGGCCGTCAACCTGCTGCTGCTCTCCACACTTCACATCCAACCACTTCAAGAGATCCAGGTGCGTTGGATCACCTGGATTACACTGGTTCCTGGTTTTGGTGGGGTGTCTTTATCTTGCATTAGAAGGATAGGACAGACAAGTAAAATATGTTTTTATTAGCAGCAAAAGACATTAACAGCAGACAAAACGCAACAGAGTTAGGATGAGCAAGGGACTGCATCTCCACTATGTGTGTTTGTGTCTATAATAGCATTGTATGAATTAACTGTTTCATGCTATGTTCCTGTAAGTGCATTTTGAGATTGTATTAATTCTTTCACCAACCATTCGATTATCACTATATGTTATATTTGTAAAGAACACAAGGGGGCACACAATACCAAGGAGAAGTCCAACCATTTGGCCACTCAGCTGTATTTCTCTATGTCCCTACTGCAAGATATAAGTTGAGTGAATTTATCGAAGGTATTTACATACTAAGCATGCTATTTCCAGTATTTCTTAAGGATTAGAGAATGGGAAAAACTCTCCCTACAAGCACTGGAAAATAGCTCGTGTTCTAAAAGTCAAACATGTATTGCAGTGAAAATTAGAGAAATACAACAAGAAAATGATATTTTACCAAACTGTATTTTCTTCAATACAACAGAATGATTAAAAACAGATAAAAAAACATTTTAATTCAGCTTTGATATGACTTCAGGAACTCAATGCCAGTCATGTGTACATACAGTATATTTATCATTATTGACACTGGCTCTTAGTGTTCCACAACCCTTAGGGTCGTCCTAACACCCTCCTCTTATAAACCTAATCTAACTGACGCAAATGTGATTACAGCCAGGCAACTATGCTCCAGGTACAATGATTGGAAATGTGATTTTAGTAAGTGAAATAGACCCGACAGACTCCTGTGCTCACACAAAAAAAATAGCGCAGAGTTTAGTCCCGTGTTCAAGCACTATTTCGAGAGATATCATATTCCCAAAGCTGTTAAGCAGGCCTTATTAAAAGTTGTCTCAAGTTTATTCCTGTGTTGACAGATTTTCATAGTGTCTAAATATGCTGTTACCCGCTAATGTTCTCATTTAAATGTCATATTTAAAAAAAAAAAAGAGCAAAATTTAGTGTCGGATGGTAACTATTAATATAAAGGTTTCCCCAGGAATGTGTTAAAAATAATTGGCCATGTCTCTGTATTCCTCAGAGGGGCTGGTATCAGACCGAGGAGGAGTACTATCTGCTCCTCTTCAGCGTCGCCGTATGTGGTCTGCGCTTCATCAGCTTCAGCCTGGAGCATTGCTGGGCCCCTGCAGACCGGGTTGGAGTTGTGCAGCTCGGCTGGTTGTTTTCATACACCTTCTATCATCCTTTCTTCTACAACGGACCCATTATTACGTACCAAGACTACATCGAGCAGGTAAGACCGCCAATGAGGGTTCTCATGAATTTAGTCTAAACATGCCTAAACATAGACATCAGCGATGGGGTTGTTACAAGAGGAAATTAACTTAAATCTTTCAGATGTGTTTGTTAACAACAAGCCGACTTTCTACACTTGCAGATGCGGAGGTCTTCTGAGGAGTGTGATGGAGACAGAGCTGTCTTTACTTACTTGGTGCTCAGATTAGGACGGATTATTCTGTGGTGGTGCATCGCAGAATACCTGATCCATGTAATGTACATGCACTCCATCCAGTCCAATGAGACCTACTTAGAAATCCTCCCTCCCTGGGCCTTGGGTAAGTCCTTGTGCTGCATGTATTTTTAGGCTGTTGTGTACAGTATGATGTAGATTTGTATCTTCAATGTTTCCCCAGTCGATTCAGACACACTCTGAACACATTTTCAAGATGCAGAAGTTAAACCGAGTTACCCCCACAGGAACTAGTTGGTTCATCAGATGTGTCTTACTCATTGGCCTCAATTCATAACCAGCCGTTATGATCTGTGGTGGGGTTTTGTTTATATTTTCATAAAGTATTTATTTGCTTTTCGCATTATTTATTCACAAATTGAAGGCATAAATCAGCTACGTACCCTCGTATTACCCCTTTGTGTCTTTGCAGGATACTGTATTTACGCAGGTGGCCCCTGTGGTCTATATACAGTATACTCTGCATGTACAGCCTCATATTGATCATATTTTAGATGTGAAGCTCCTCTGGGATTTTCAAGTTTCTTGCTAATTCATTAATTATTGGTCATTTACTCGCTCACCATTGTCCTAATCTGCCCCCTAGTTGTCATAAACAGGTATAGAAACTGAATTATGATCATTTTTTTTTTGCAATTCTGCTCAACTGTTCTCAGCAGCTCTTTTATGTCAGCAACAAATTATGTTTGCCAAGTCATCAACTATTGATCCCTTTGAGGTTTTTAAACAGAGGGTCTGATAATACAGGGTGTTGTATGCTGCGCAGATTAGAAAGCCCTTTGGGGCAATTAAAGAGCGTGTCTTAATTATTAAAATAAATATTCCTTTGACCTCCTTTTCCTCCTGCTACAGGAGGTCTGGCCCTGGCACTGGTCCAGTTCTTCTTTGTGAAGTATCTGGTGCTGTTCGGCCTTCCGTCCACGCTGGCTACTTTGGATAAACTAGTTCCCCCAAAACTTCCCCACTGTGTCAGCATCATGTACAGTTTCACAGGGATGTGGAGGTAAGATCATGTAGTGGAACAAATCACAGTTAACACCACTGACATAAATAAAGTGCAGTATTGGTCTCATCGCGTTCCTTAACATGTCAATGAAAGGAAAAGCTTGCATCTTCGTGTTATTGTTGAAGAAAGGGTTAATTTAATGTCAAGTGCCTTAAGTGCTCACTGTGCTTTAGCAACAAGGGTTAACCTCTTGGTAAACCATAATTTAAATCTCTCTGTATTCAAACCACTTAATAATCAAAATATATGAAGTATCAATCAAAATCTCTCACTCACAAAATGTCCATTAAATCAACAGAAACCAATTTCAAATTCAGCCTCCTGATGTGAAAATCAAATGCCCCCTAATTAAATAAACTGTCCGAGGAGACAATGAGCAGGATGAGGGTCAGTACAGAAATAGATGCTATTAGGCCGGGCGTGGAAGGTGGATGAGGGGCTCTGCACGTTAACCTGAGGCAGGAGAATAGGACACGCCTGGAGAGTTGCAAGAAAGAAGACTTAACGTGTCGTTTTTTGGTTCTCCTTTGTGCTTCTGTTAGTTCTCTCTCCCCCAGCTCACAGGTGTGTCTGATTTATCTCACCTCCTTCCTTTCCTCTCAAGGTAGAAATGTGCTATTCTGTAGTTTTTCTTCCCCTCCCTCTCTGCTGCACTTGTTTGGCACGAGTTTGTAGGCACACACACACACACACACACGGACGCCTCATGCTGAATAATTGATGTCCTACCTACCTCTATTAAAGTAAATGTCTTGACGACTGTTGCATTTAATAAGCTCATTTAACACTTTTGCGACCAAGCAAAGGGAAAGACTATGCCTGCTTTATACTGAAGGGGTCACAATTGCTCAAGTTAAATAAACACACACATGGCCGTGCTTGTTAGATGGGAATACGGCACCATAATCAGCAAGACTTCAAATTTAACATGGCTACGAGCAACAGCACATCCACTGCTTGGAAAACCATTTCAGATATATTTAATGGTGAACGTTTTTGTGTCACAGTGCCATTTGTCGTTTGCTCTGATACATGCCCAGTCACCAGTTTATTAGGTACACCAAGCTAAAACCTGTCTGATTCAACAGTCCTACAATAGATCCTACCGTTATTAAGGTTGTATGAAGGCTATATTCTTCATTTTTTTGTTGTATGACAATTTTGGATGTTGCAGTTTGTGGTGTTGAGCTGTATTGCATTATACTAACTGGTGTTTCTATTATTTTGACCACCCCATTTATATGAATAAGAGTAGGCAAAATAACAGAAACATCTCTCTACAATCTCCAAAACAATAATAAAGTTAAAGGATATAGCACAAAATACTTTGGATAAGGCAATACAAATAATTCATTAATATTACAGGATTGATCTATTAGCTAGCTGTACCTAATAAATTGGCAATTGAGTATACGAACAAGATTCAAGCAATATACCCAATATACAAGAAAGAAACATGCAAGTCAAAAAACAGTGTTTGACTGTGAGTAACATCTGTTTTCCCTCATGGTTATTCTATAAAATGACCAGGCAATGGAGAGTTTTATGCCCCTCCCTCATGGCTAAATCACTCTGTTCCCAAATGTAATTGAAAATGAGAGACTGCTCTCTTAATTCGGAGCACATACAATCGACGTGGAAGGCTGTGTGTTTGGTTTTTGCAGTACAAATGCACTGGCTGTGGACCAGATCGACCAATGTGCTGACACCGATGCATTCCAATCCGGCTTGTGTGTGCTGAGCTGGCCAATGTTGACAACATTGATGGAATGCATAAAGCTGTCCACTGACATCATTCAGTTTATAGGCAGCACACAAAAAAAAGAACCTGTTTTCTAATCTTCTTAATGACCAAAGAGTGCACACGCAAACGCGCATCCATCATACATACGGCATGTGAAGCCCAGAGCTCAGGTGTTTCTTACACAGTGCTGTATTATTATGTAAATGTCTGACTCAATATTCATTTAATTTTTTTTTGTTCTCTCTCAGGCACTTTGACGAGGGCCTGTATCGATGGCTCATCAGGTAAGAGGCACTCCATGAGCAGAGAACAGACTAATGAAGATGTTAATGCTTACTAAAAATGTGAAATGTCATCGAAATCAAATAATAACTCTAGAATGTCTCTGTCTATCCATCATCTAATCTGTCTGTCTGTCTCTCTATCTGTCTCTCTATCTGTCTCTTTATCTGTCTCTCTCTCTGTCTGTCTGTCTGTCTGTCTCCCCATCTATCTAATCTATTTTTATCTCCGTCTATCTCTCACTCCACCCATAGCTGGTTACATATCTCTATATACATCTCTCTCTCTATATATATATGTATGTATGTATGTATGTATGTATGTATGTGTGTATATATATATATATATTCATAGTTTTCATTGCCTCATATTTTGAATAGCGTGCCGTGTGTTTATTCAACCTTTATCTGTTATTTTTCACACACTTACTGTAAAGAGCTCATTTCCTGCAGGGCAATGAACTTGTTCAGTTGAATAACCTTAAAATAAAACAAAGAGAAGGTGCCATTCTCCTGCTGCCGACCCACATGTGTCATCACAATGGACAAGGATGCCGCATTTGCATGTAGGCTTTCTCATGATTATGAGGTCGGATGCTGTTGGTGAATAGTTCTTCTGTTGTGCTGCTGTTCCTGCACCCTGGTGAAATGCCTCCTTGTTTAATATGTGCATATGTAATGGGAGCATTATGTGCCAGCTCACTTGTACTTTGGACAACGTACATTATTAGTTTCTCTGCTTGTTAATGATGCACACTTGGCTGAATGCAGCCTATTGGGAGGTTATGATCCACTTGTTAGATGCGGGTTGCTCCATTAAGGCGACGCTGCAGTTGCACGGTTGTCAGAAAACACACTGATATTCTGTCAAAATGCTCCCTCGTCCTGGTCGTTGTTCGCTAATTAGCTTTTGTGTTGACACGTATGATGGCGTGCATGTTCACCTGCTTTTCAGGTGTTAAAGATGAATTAAATTGGACTGTTTTGGAGATGGCTACAGAGGATCCATTTAATTAGCAGATTCTGAAGGCACAGTTCACCCCGAAATCAAAAGTACATATTTTTCCTCTTACCTGTCGTGCTATTAATCAATCTAGATTATGTTGGTGTGAGTTGCCTAGTTTTGGAGGTATCGGCCGTGGAGATGTCTGCCATCTCTCCAATATAATGGGACTACATGGCACAAGGCGTGTGGTGCTCAAAGCGCCAAAAACACAGAACCTTGTTGTGGGCAGTTTCATGCAGGAACTATGGTTGGAAGAAAAAGAGTTCCTACTTGAAACTGCTCTGTATTCTCTGTATTTTTGGTTTTCTAAATTGCAAATGCAAGTTGCCATTTTAATCCATTTGTCCATTGAAAATAGTTTTATCCTGCCTAATGGCATCACTTGCAATTATCCCACTGCAGAGGCAGAACGATACCCGTGACACAATGCCCCGGCGTTCTTTCTCGCGAAAAGTGCTTTTAAAGAGCTTTTAATGCAGTTCTGAAATTCTGTTGAAATTGTCTGAAGTGCGCTCAATGAGTGCGTAGGTGTTAAATGATGTGCTCTGCATGACACCCCGTCTCCCTGAGCAGCTAAGTGGCTCATTCTTAACCATTACATTGCGCTCTGCGTGCCACTGTGTCTCAGGTTCTCTGTTTCATACTGATCAACCAACAGAAGAGCTCTCTCTGGTTGTTTGTTTGAGTTATTGCTGCCACACACGAGGAGGAGCATATGCTCACGGAATCATGGGGCGAAATAGTTCAAAATAATATTTATATAATTAAAAATAAATAAGCGGGGGCTTGGAGTGTGTGTGAGTGTGTGTGTGTGTGTGTGTGTGTGTGTGTGTGTGTGAGAGAGAGAGGAAGGACATTGTTTTATTTGATGTATGATGTGTTGCTGACCTCCTCACTTTACATCTCATGTATTACTTAACCTGCTTCTTCCTCCCTAGGTCTATAGCGCACCAGTGGTAGCAATGGGTTACAAGATAGGTATGAGAGGATGTCGAGATTTATAATAAGGCAAAATAAAAAACATCTTCAGTCACACAATATTATATCCACTTTTTCCAATCTTTCCCCTTTTCTGATGTAATATTCAGCAGTAGCGTTCCATTTTCAGGCTTCTTAAAAATAGCTGACTCAAATACAATACTCAGGTTTAAAGGGAAACCACTGTTTTGGTGAAATTTCCTCAAAGCTCATGGGGATACGCATCTCTTGACAAGGTTTTGAACTGCCAGTTGCCTGGCAGTTCATTTCCAGTCTCTAAACCTTGTACGCATGTTGTCTGCACCATCTGCTGTCAGTACTCAGGTGTTACATAACACACTGATTACTCATCTATTGCAGTAATGTACGTCTTGCAATTTTCATATTTCGACTAACTCCTGTTTAGCATCCGTCTACATCTAATTAATGTAAATAGACTGATAGATACTCAGTGTGTTCAGGTGTTCGGTTTGCTCGAACACTCTGGTTCCTCTCCATCTGCTCTTGCGCCTACTTTCATCCTCCAATATGCCAAGCTGGCCACTCTATTTAAGGCTCAGAAAATGCTGGCTCATCGGTCCGGAGCATTGATTATCCACAGGGTGGCTGAGATAATTAGTTCCCAGCTCAGCAACACCAGACAGAACGTGTTTGTTTGCGTCTAAGTGTGTTGGAGTGGTGTAGCATGTCGAGACTCTCGGTCCCCCGGGGGACAGACGAGCTTCTCATAATATCTGAGACCTTTTGTCTTCGCGGCATGCACGACAATCTTAACTGATTGTTGGGGGTATGATTCACCTCATGTGGGCTATGGGTATACAGCTGCTATTTTTAAATCACATGAAGTGTAAGCTCATTTAATCCACAGTGGAATTCAATGCATGCATTATGTGATGTTTTACTCATTAAATCTTGGTTTTATCCTATGATCTCATGTTGCAGATACATCTATGTGCCGTTGGGGGGCTCACGGCATGGTCGTCTTTACAAGGCGTTATCGACCGGCCTTGCGTTCGGCTTCGTCTGCCTCTGGCACGGCGGCCACGACTACTTACAGTACTGGGCCCTGATGAATTGGGCTGGAGTTCTGGTGGAAAATGGACTGCAGTCTCTCTTCGCCTCGTCGTTTATTCGCTCCATTGTTGTAAGTTTGAAATCTAAATCCAATTTGAAAAAAAAAACAAAAAGGATGTTAAAAGAGATTAAAATTGTACATATAGATATAATTCCCTGGTTATTCCATCAATTGGATTTTCAGTTAAGATGTGTGAAGATGATGGAATCTTTCTTGTAGCTAGAAATAATGGGGTCATGTAATCTGATTTAATAAGAAATGATGCCTGGAGCTGCGACAGTAAATACAGCAGACTGACTGGTTGGATCCTGTCGCATCTAATTGGCATAAAGGAGCAAAATTAATGTGAGTTAAAGTATGTTTGACCAATAACAATAGAAACGTTCATCTTGCTTCTTTGGACTCCGGCCTTGGGAGAAGGTTCATGTTCTCAGAATAGTAATAAGTCTGATGTTAGACTGTAATCCTTCTAGTTTATGGCCACACAGTTCATTAGTACCAGGTGCTTTGCTACTCTTTGCCTCTCAGATTTACAATGCAAATCTCTTGTGGTTCTTTTGCAATTTACTTATTTATTTACTGATTTCCAGGAGCAGACCTTCTCTGCGGCGATGGAGCGGCGCTGCATTGCCCTTCTCTCGGCCTTCTCCACTGCCATGCTCATCCTCTCTAATCTGGTGTTTCTTGGGGGGGGACATGTTGGCAGAATCTTCTGGAAGCGTGTCTTCATTCAAGGTAAAGTGTCCTCCATGACACTCACTCAGGAGGATTTCTGTGAGCCTTTCACTTTGCAGGATTGTTTCGGATGATATTCATACATTTGTTTCGGTTGTAGAGGTACCATCAGTCACTGTTCAGTTGCATCATGGGACATTTCACCTTCTACAGTGGTGACAGCAGCTAACGATAGTACGTCTAAAGCAACAATTAGAGAGAGACCAACCTCTGGATATAATAATGATGATGATAATGACACCTTTACAAAACAATGTTGATGAGGTGCTTTACAGGGTGGAAACAATAGAAAATTGAAGAAAAATGGAAAATGTTAACAGTAAAAACCATTTTAAAAAAACAATAAAAAGATATACATTCAACTATAATGAAAATCAAGCAATATGACATTAAACATAGTCAAAACAAAACAATTGAAATAAAACAGATGGTGAGGGAAGGTAAGGATCACAGGGAGACTAGACTATAAAAAGTGTGTTGTAAGAAGAGGTCACACTGGACCATCATCAGTACAGAGACATTTGCTTTGTGGTTGTGCCAGTCCCTGTTTATCTCCCCGTGTCTTTATTTGGGGCTCATTTGGTACCTAAAGCAAGATGGCAGCCCCCCTCCCCCCCCACAGCCTGTCTACTCAAGATAAGCAGTCTGAGCTGCACCCGCCACTGGGGTGGGCACAGACTCAGTGCCGAGAGCTCAGCGCTGAAACTTCATCATATGATATAAACATATATAAATATACATGTTTTGACAAGAAGAGTTAATGCTGAATTAAAAAGCAGAGTTTTCTCATTTTTAAAGTAGCATTAATTGATTTTTTTTTACCACTTGGGGTCAAGCTGTAAACACAACAGTGACATTATCTTATAAAGCCGGTGTTAGTGTTTCCTATTCCCACATCCAGCAGGACCCAGAACAACATTAGCATTCATCTTCCGTTAATGGCACATGTCTTTGGGCCTCGTCAAGTCGAGCCCAGCAGCCTGACGAATATTCCAGTCATCAGTTAAGCTTCATTGTGACAGGAACACAATTGTTGTGAGGCGGGGAAAGCTCACAGTAAATCGTGTGTAACTATCAGGCCTCTTCTAGCAGACTCGGTGTAAATAAGTGAAGAGAAACCTAAAAGTAAGAGCAGTGTGTTTTAAAACACCATTTCTGTTGTGAATTATTCAGAGTAAGACCCAGAAACTAAACAGAGAATCTCAGCTTGCCTTTAGGAAAATTAATTCGGACCATATGATAGTACAAATAAAGATATAACATGGCGCTGCCTGATGCTTACTTTAAAATGTTTAGAAAGACCTTTGAACAAACCACTTGATCATTTTGTTGCTAGTGTAGTCGTGGTTTTGTACTTTAAATGGAAACGAAATGGATCCACCAGAAAAGGCCTGAGGCAGTTCCTTGTGTCTGCATGTGTCTGCACAATAAAACATCGCTGCGCTTTGCTTCATTAACATGAGATCAATGCTTTTAAATCAGCCGGTCTGCACTTTTTACTGGTGCAGGCAGTGGTGCAATTGCACTCTTTGACCTCCCCGGTGAAACAAAAACTAATTCCTGATATTGTTGTATGTTGACTGAGTTGTTTATCTTCACGAGCCTCCGAAAAGCCCCAATGTAAGAATAACCTAAAGTCGTTTTGCTGAATGACGTAGACGGTTGTTAAAATTGCGTTACGTTATGTTAGTTTGAATGAAAACTGTTTACTCCAGTGGACTTTGGAATGTAATTTCATGTCTGTTTAAGTATGATATCAGTAAAACTACAGTACCTTTACTGAGTAGGACATTGATGCAGTTCCATCTCTGGTTGCCAGTAGCATCACCTCGAAAAAACCACGATCGGCTCTGTGAGTCGGCGTGCCTGCATGCTCACAATTATAATGCTAAGATGATGATTTTTAGCAGATTTAGGTAATGTGTAGCATGTGAGAATGCAAGTATTTGCTTTTCAGCACTACGCACAGAGTACAGCTGAGGATGATGGGAATGTCATTAGTTTTGCAGGTATTTAGTCTCGTCAGGTATAAAGAAATTACAATTGATGATGATGGCGCTAGATGAAAAGTCAGAGGTCACCGAAGAGATCTGAATTCACCCTGAGGGGAACATAAATGTCTGCACCAAATTTCATGGCAATCCAATATTTAGATATTTCGGTTAGGACCAAAGACAGACATAGCTTTCCTTTGAGCGATTCCATTAGTCTGCCTAAATAACAACAAGCTCACCTTTGCTAATTTCCTGACCCACACATGAGTTGTAATCAGTCAAAATATAACATAGCCAGAGACATAGAAAAGGAAGAGCTCAACCAACAAGTTGTCAGTTTACTGAGAAGCAGTCTTTTATTTAGTTTTGAGTTGCCTCTCTGCAAGTTTGACCTCCTTTGAACACAAAGTACTCTGTTAATCAAGCGGCAAAAGAAACCGTGGTGTAATTATAGCACCGGTTGATTAGAGTCATGGTAACATGCAACTGGAAGAGATTTTTTTTTTTGTTCACTCTCTGTGCCAGGAGTTAGTATTAAGCAACAACTGCTACGTTCCAAAATGGTAAAGATCACTCTTAGTTGTAGCCCAAAGTAACTCACATATCTAGTAGCGGTGTATGCTTCCTCTAACCTCTGCTTCTCACTCTGTTAGTTGGTAACAGCAAAGGTTAGACTACTGGTTGGGGAATATATTTCACACTGAGGGCTTTAATGAAATCTACATAACTGCAAAGACAAAACGCTGGCACGTCTTGAAACTGCAACGCTTGCTCGTGGTGCGCGCAGGGCCCCGAGCTAAAAGGCTTCGTGTGATGGATCTAGATGTCAGAAATGCATCACATTTGTAATCGCTCATGAGCATTTCTAATGTAATTAAACCAACATTAATAATTAGCTGGCATTTACCGGAAATTATGCTTATTTTCTGCAAACGTCACGTCAGCATAGCATAAATATTTATCAGCGAAAATCTGGGTTTTCTAGGTGTAGCCCGTGCAGCCTTTCTCTTCTGCAGACAGGAAACGGACAGTACAGCTGTGCATAAAGCAGCCCGTGTGTATGTGAATTAGATTTTGACATGAATGGGGAAGAATAGACCATTGAAAAGCATTGTGGCTGCAGGTGCAGGTTACTGAGATAATCTGGAGGAGAGCCAGTTGGGGAGGAGGTGCAGACAGCAGTCTTTACCTGCCTGCTCGTCCCTCTAAGACACGGCTATAAATAGAAAAAGAGAGTAACCGTAACACAACACAGTACAGCACAGAGAATTAACCAAACCGCCTACTGCTCGCTGTCTCTCTTGCTCTTGTAAAAGAATGCAAGTCTTTGTAGTAGTTACCTGGAAAACGCATCAGAATATAGCAGTCTAAATATTTCCTGTTACAGATAAATACATTCTTTTCATTTTAGGCTGGTCGACCATGGCTCCGCCTATGCTGGCTTTCCTCTACTGCTTTGCTCAGATTGGACTTGAGTGGACGTCTCGCCCACCATGAGTCACCTTGACTTTCCACCGGAGCGAGAATCCCTGCTACCAGACAACCAGAACAACCTGCTGAGTCCAGTTCCTTGTCCAACCGGGCTCACTGCCACAGAACCCGTCCAAACCTGGCTGAAGTGCAGCTGAGCAGCCACTTTTTTCACCACCCGGCAAAATCTGTCCGTAAGCTACGACTCAAAGGATCAGAGCTGATTCTCTCGAAGGAGAGAGTTTCACGTGCACACAAACTGTAATATAATTAAATTCAGGGCAGTCTCCGATAGAAGTCTTGGCAGTTTCAAGGCATGTTTTCTACCCAATAAGCTTCACTGAATCACTGTTATTCTAAGAAACACTAAAAGAAAATACGGCCCCGGATCCGTCTTCGTTACGTGGCTCTGATAAGGTATTGCTCAGTGGTGCGGTAAGCTGGAGAAATGCTAATTTCATATTTACTGTCCTCCTTTAGCTCGCCACAAAAGCATTGGTGTCTTCAGAGGTAGATACAAGGAGCAGTGGACTGAATGGAGCAGCAGGAACCCGATCAGTGTCATTATGTTCCCGTATAGATGGAACTTGGGTGAAGTTGCATCACGCTGATATTCGATATATTAATACAAAGCTTTAGAGGGACAACACACTAACTTTTCATTTATCACATTGATAATGATAGATGACATTTATCCACTAGAATGCAAATGAATGCTATGTTTTGGGTACGGATGTAAGAAAAACAAAAACACACAAGTTGTTTGTTTTGTGCTAATATGTTGTATAATGCCTCATATCTCCATATGTCAACTGTACACTACCTCAGTCTTGGATTAAAACCTTGTATTTCAAGTTCCCTGATTATAAATATGCATCCATGTTGTAATGGGTAACTCTACTGTACCTGTTGTGATGACTCATTCAGTCTCTCAGATCCATACATACAGGTCTAGAGTGTTTTGGGATATGTTGACGGGATTAGCTCCCAACATAAACCCAGGAAACTCTTCCTGTACTTGTCAATTTTTCCAGAAATATTAAAAACAGCTTTATTTTAATTCTGACTATTCTTCATACAGAGTTTTGAAGGGACTTCTATGAATATCTTTAAAGGGTAAGACTACACTTTTTCTTAAAATGGTTGTCTCAATACTTTCTGACGTCCCTTCTCTGTGTTTGACAGTCTGCCCGAAGATCATTTGCTCTCATTACTCCTAAAAAATGGGTAAAACAAATGTTTTTATTTTTTTTATTGATTTCCTAAAAAATCTGGGCACTGTAGTTCTTAGCAAACGTTACTCAAACAATAAATAGTGTATTTGTTGGAACTGTTTTCAGCTGCGGATTAATACACATTTGGTGACCTAGTGAGTATTTACAGTTATGCGAGATCACAATGAAAAAATGATTTTGTACAACCAGAGACACAGATACCAGACAATACTTAGTGAGATCAGTTGAGTCATGGGATATATTGACAAGAAGAACCAGAATATGGTCAGACTTCTCCTTTAAGAGATGCCAAAGAGTTTCTACTGGAAAGCTTTCACACGACAACTAGCTTTAGTGAGCTGCAGTGGTGAGTCAATTAACCAATTAGTCGATCAACAGGAAATTCATTGTTAAATATTTTGAATACTAATAATGCCAAATCTTTTCTGGTTCAAGCTTTTCAAATGTGACGGTTTTGCACCAAACTATCGATTCATCGGGAAAACAAATCTGCATTTGAACCGATAATTAAAATAACTGATATTTGAGCTGTATTTAGGGTTATCAGGTTGAGGCTGTCCCACAGTGAGTTGGATGACCTGATTCAATGAGAGAAAAAGCTTTGATAGTCAGACCAATGAGACTGTTTTTTTGGTGTGAAAATAAACAAACAACTCTTGGTGAAAAGTTACACATATTTAAAGCTTTACATTTCAGATCACAATGAATCATTTGCTCTGCAGTCCAGTTGCAGATGACTAGTTCATTACCAGTTTCGAAAGACAAAGTAAAAGAAAGCTACTTTAAAAGGCTTATGTGCTTTTTCTTTGTCATCTGAGCTTAGAAAGTGTTGTGTGATCCTCTTACTGTTCTCAGTGCTGAGAGCAATCAGCTCCAGGGTACGGCTTCCAAGGAGATTACTTTAAGAATGAGTGATTTTTTAAGTCAGAGGTGTTATCCCTGACAGAGCCATCATTAACATAAAACTTTCTTGTTGCCGTTGGTCGTCTGGTTATTTATCGTAGCTTCAAAAAAAAAAAAAAAAAAAAAAGGTCTGTACTTTCATTTTTTGTATCTCGGTGAGTAACAGAACTGTAATCTGGAGTCTGTTCGTTGTGAGCCTCGAGTGTCTCCATTAGTTGATTTCTGTTCTTGGGATTATCACATCTGTGGCACCTAAATAGGATCAATGTGAGCAAGGGGTCAGCGAGGAATCCGCTTAAATGAGGACGAAACTGTTTATCCGACGTAAGTAGATCAGCAGCAGAACACGCCTGCTGAGTTACACTCTCTCTGTAAAGTGCCCTCATCACTGGCAGGGGAGCTAAAACACAAAGACTGACACATGAATGGATGCTCTACGGCACCATGCATTATCCAAAGAGAACAGACAGAGCAGTATGTATAAAATATTTATTATGAATAGTACAGTATGTCACAGTTCATAACAAAGAGTTGCCATTGTGCTTGAAATAGTTACATTTCTCATCATTTGACATGTGAACATTGAGGCATGTGCATATTACGTAAATCACACCAAATTCAAACGGTTCTCTTTAAGAATCGAGAGAGAGAGAGAGAGAGAGAGAGAGAGAGAGAGAGAGAGAGAGAG